ACACATGTACGCTATATACCTTACACACCTGTACGCTGTATACCTTACACACCTGTACACTGTATACCTTACACACATGTACGCTATATTCCTTACACACCTGTACGCTGTATACCTTACACACATGTACACTATATACCTTACACACCTGTACGCTGTATACCTTACACACCTGTACACTGTATACCTTACACACCTGTTCACTATATTCCTTACACACCTGTATGCTGTATACCTTACACATCTGTACGCTATATTCCTTACACAACTGTACGCTGTATACCTTACACACCTGTTCGCTATATTCCTTACACACATGTACACTGTATACCTTACACACATGTACGCTGTATACCTTACACATCTGTACGCTGTATACCTTACACACATGTACACTACATTCCTTACACATCTTTACGCTGCATACCTTACACACATGTACGCTATATTCCTTACAGACCTGTATGCTGTATACCTTACACACCTGCACGCTATATTCCTTACACGGTGTTTTTAGACGGGTCTGCTTTGACATGCACACATACTGGCAAAGGTGAAAACAGAAGCAGGCCATGGCTTGATACTAATACTATAACGTTGAACAAGGAAGTATATTGCTTTATATATTACATCCGCTTTGCGCGTGTCTCCAAGTAGTCGCATCAGCTAAACTATCCATGACTTTAGTCATCCTTAAGGTCTTAACAGGAGCAAATGCTGTACCTATTCTTCCTAAACAAAGATTAAAGTGCCATTACTACTGCATCAGTGATGCGATCATTTTATACAAACATATATTTTATTAGATGATAAACACAGACATTCATCTTAATAGATAAATAGATACGTAGATACATAGGCAGGTGTACTTGACACTCGGTTATCCAGTGTTCTATTCATCATAATAGAATGGATGTACCGTACACTGGATAAACGATGTCGTGTAGTCACGCGATTAATGCTTTTCGTACTGCGCCAATACCGCTGCAATCAGCACTTACCGTTATGGCACTCTGTGGAAATTCCGGGTTTGAATTGGGCCCCAGTAGCCCGTTCCGGTCAAAGAGGTGACCATTTGGACCGGGTGGTCAGACCTTGGTTGATGGACTGTCGTTGTTTGTGGCCTCTGCTCACAGCGTCAGTCACTGGATTGTCTGGTCCTGTTCAAGGTCATATAGCTGGAATATTGCTCAACAAGAAACACACAGACACCAGCTGTTGTGTCCCGGATGAGGGAGGCCAGTGATGAATGTTCTGTGTGTATACAGTGGCAACATGGATCCTCCACTTTGTCTAGCTATAGAGCGTTATAATGTCATCCACGAAGCTAACCAGGATGTTTGCTATTTGGCGTAACAGTACTTCTTTACATACAGGAAGAAAAGCAACAAAAACTCCCTGTTGTAGGGAACCGCTTCAAGTGTATGTGGTATTCACTACTGAGTGTTAATCATTGTGTGAAGACGGGATTCACAGCAATGTTCCAAACTAAAGTTGTTTGGCGTTTTGATAACGAATATCTAATAGGTTGTGGGCCGTGTGTAAGGTGCATGGAAGGTACGAGCACATGGAGAGAGGGGTCGTGATCGTAGGAGGAGTAACGAATTGCTAGGGATCGTAGGAGGAGTAACGAGTGCTGGGAAGTTATACATACATACATACTAACATTTGTATAGCGCCGATATACAGCTCAGCTCAGCTGCTCAAAGGCGCTTTGTTTTTCCCTCGTTCACTGGATGTCAATCTCAACGGCACATCGTATTGTCAATCTCAACTCCCTGGGGATCATACACGTTATATGTGATAAGGGGTCGTAGGAGGAGTTACGTGTGATATGGATCGTAGGAGGAGTAACGAGTGCTGGGAAGTTATATGTGATAAGGGATCGCAGGAGGAGTTACGTGTGATAGGGATCGTAGGAGGAGTAACGAGTGCTGGGAAGTTATATGTGATAAGGGATCGCAGGAGGAGTTACGTGTGATAGGGATCGTAGGAGGAGTTACGTGTGATGGGGATCGTAGGAGGAGTTACGAGTGATAGGGATCGTAGGAGGAGTTATGAGTGATGACGATCGCAGGGGCTACGGGTGATAGGGGTCGTAGGAAAAGTCACGTGTGATAGGGATCGTAGGCGGGGCTACGAGTGACAGGGATCGTAGGAGGAGTTACGAGTGATAGGGATAGTGGGAGGAATGAGGTATGATAGGGATCGTATGAGGGGCTACGAGTGATAGGTAGTGTGGAAATAAGTACGAGTGTAAGAGAATGTGAGTGGGGTTACGAGCACTAGGGATCGTAGGAGGAATTACGAATGATAGGGATCGTAAGAGGAATCGCGTGTGATAGGGATCGTAGGAGAGTTACGAATGGTAGGTAGTGTGGAAGGAGGTGCGAGCGTAGGGGAATGTGAGTGCAGTTATGAGTACTATGGATCGTAAGAGGAGTTGCTATGGTGAGAGAGGTAGTTGGGTTTGACGCCACTTGACTAGTATTTCAGGTATGTCACGGCGGGTCAGTTTAACGTTTCAAGAAAGCCCATAGTGAAGCAGGTCACTGCTGAAACTCCTGAGCTCGGTTCTTGTGCTGATGAAAATTCGGGATTCAGACCCATGACAACAGGTTTCTGTTCAAAGGGGCGGTACTCAGACAGAGAATTGCTGCGTGATCCAACGAGTGGTACAGAGAGCGTGGAATAACATAAAGGGCCGAGGACTGTGGAAGGAATTACGAGCCCTTGGAAGGGTGGAAATAATTATGAGTGCAAGAGAACGTGGAAGGAATAGCGAGTGCAAGGAGACCTACGGTGAGTGAGTGAGTTTAGTTTTACGCCGCCTGTAGCCATATTCCAGCAAAATCACAACGGCGGTCACTAGAAATGGGCTTCACACATTGTACCCATGTTGAGAATCGAACCCGGGACTTTGGCGTGATGATCGGATGTTTTATGCACTAGGCTAGCCACCGTCCCTCACCACCAGAAATAGGCTTCATACAACGTACCCATCTAAGGAATCAAACCTGGACCTTCTGTGTAACGAGCGAACACTGAAACTGCTCGGCTACCCCATCAACCCCTAGGCAACCTGGGAAGGATTACGAGCGACTAGGGGCGTGGAATGAGTTACATAGGGTCAAATGTCAGGAAGGACAGAGGACATATTTTGAGTGAGTCACAAGTGGGGGAGTTAATGGTCTAGAGCAGAATAGTTTACCTGGCCTGTCTGCTAAGCAAGTGCTCTCTGTTATTCGGCATCTATTGTCGGTTGTTTTTTTACAAGATTGAGTTTTTTACGTTGGCATATTAAGCACCCAAATCAACTTGTTTGTTCTCAACTAGCTGCTATTCTGTCATAATATATAAACAGGATCTCCTCAAATCACCAAGCCGTGAATGCAAAGGGCATTCCATGGTGAGGCTGTGTCCTAGTAGCCAGGCCGTGGATGATCTCACGCGGGGCTGTACTTTCAGTACAGGTGTGTGGCAAGGCAGCTCACTGACTCCCAGTCCTTTATCGCACCGGGTCGCACAGCGTGAGAACCTGGCTCGACTGGACACGCTTCAGTGGTAATCGCTCAACTTTCGCGCATAAATACAGGAATCAGTAATATTGTACCCGCCGAAAATAAGTCGTCGGTACGCTTTCTGCTGCTTTTAAATGGTAGTTCAGGTTTCTTTTCTTTCTCACATTCCGCCCTATTTTCGCTCGGATTCCTTTTCGTATTTCTTATTCTATCAATTTGATTTCGAATAGTCGCGGTGACTATTTCAGATGAGCAAGTGAATGAGTTTAGTTTTACGCCGCTAATAGCAATAGTCCAGCAATATAACAGCGGAGGACACCCTAGGGGCAGCCTAGCACTAGGCACCCCTGATTAATGAAGACGTGCTGTAAATACTCGAGTTTGGAACAGACAAGCCCTTGGTTGATGTAATGACACCCAATCAGTTAATTCTCCCCTAGTGAGTCTCACATTCTCTAAACCCTGTTAATTTCTCTTCCACCTGCCGCAGATGTGAAACAAGTCCTGAATTAAGCAAGTCTAGATTTTCCACAGGTTCTGAATCTCCATAGCACTGGGACCCCTTTTCAAGGCAGGGGCGAGGCAGCCTGGTAGGTGTTCACCAGTCACGCCGATATTCCGGGTTTAGTTCCCATCCAATTATTCCAATGCATGAAGCTTAACTGGTGTTCCTGGTGGCGATGTTGCTGGAATTATGCCAAACGATGCGCAAAACCAGATTCACCCACTCACCCACCCAGACGCTGACCATTACTCACTCCCTAACCAGCTGCATGCTTCCTTGTTCTCTTTGTGTGTTTAATTATATACTTGTTACGAGCGTAATAAAAACTGCCAGTACAAACTAAGAGGAAGTCGCTTTGATTTCCTGATCTAAAGCCTACTTGTGGGAACTTTGTGACACACATTGCGCTTGATCTCTATACACAGACGGTTGTTGTATAGAGTATCTAAACTCACACTATGTTCACGAAATACATATATATACATAAATGCCTGTGGTCTCTCTCTCTCTCTCTCTCTCTCTCTCTCTCTCTCTCTCTCTCTCTCTCTCTCTCTCTCTCTCTCTCTCTCTCTCTCTCTCTCTCTCTCTCTCTCTCTCTCTCTCTCTCTCTCTCTCTTTGTGTAATAAGCACAGTGCATTGGACACGAACCACATTCTGACAACCTCTGAGGAGTGACTATGAAACTCAACATATGGTTGTCCCTCTTTTTTTGCTTATAAACCACAGGCACGGCGCGAACATCTCATTAAAGCGTTTGAACAGCTTGTAAAGTGAGGAATTAAGTTTCAAATTGTATTATCATGAAATGAAATGCAATCATTTGCTATTGACACAGTCTCTCTCTCCCTCTCTCTTTGTGCCACACAAACACACACACACACGCACACACATGCACACATAACGCACTCACACCACAAAGCATGTTACACACACGGGCACATACACAATCAAAATGTAAGTAACGGGCACTTACGTGGGCGCGGCTCGTTTCATCGCTGACAATGCCAAATACATTCCTACACATCCACGATCTGACAGGCGGTATCCGTAACCAACAGGTTGCCACTGGATCAATACTACATCATGTCATGGTTTTACAACCCTCGGTTTAGTATTTGTACATGTCTCCCACAACTCGGCGTGTTATGCAAGACCCTGTCAACCAATCACACTCAGACCCACATTTCAGGACGGAAAACCTAATTGACATCAAGGAAACGAGCAGGGAAAACTCCTTGTAACAAGTACAAAAAACATTCTATCGCAGTAACACTGTTCAGTCTTTCGTCGAAGTGCTTATGTTCATGAAGCAACATCCAAAGATGACTGCCGTGCTTCCATAACTAGGCTATAGGTTCGACATACCCATTCATAGGTTCGACATACTCATTCATAGGCTCCTTCTGTGAGTGATTGATTGATTATGGTTTTACGCCGCTTTTAGAGAGAGTGAGTGAGTTTAGTTTTACGCCGCACTCAGCAATATTCCAGCTATATAGCGGCGGTCAGTAAATAATGGAGTCCGGACCAGACAATCCAGTGATCAACAGCATGAGCATCGATCTGCGCAAATGGGAACCGATGATATGTGTCAACCAAGCCAGCGAGCCTGACCACCCGATCCCGTCAGTCGCCTCTTACGACAAGCATGGGTTACTGAAGGTTCATTCTAACCCGGACCTTCACGGGTCCGCTTTTAGAAATATTCCAGCAACATCACGGTGGTGGACACCATAAATGGGTTTTACAAATTGTACCCATGTGGGGAATCGAACCCGGATCTTCGGCGTAACGAGCTAACACCTTAACACGAGGCTACCCTAACCCGGCTCCATGTATCATGGAGAGTAGTAACCATTGCAGAGAGATTTGTCGTGTCATCTAGGAAGGCTGAACGAATGTTAACCTGTTGGTTATCGGTAGCCTCTTGAACCCAAGTGTTGGACTTTACTTCTTGACCGATCTTTTTCAGTTTTGTTGCGCTTTCGCAAGTCGTTATCTTCATGACATGCCAGATTTAAATTTATCCTAGCTTATCTTCCTATACACAACTGGTTTTCAGTGGCGACAGATCGGTGGTATTTACAGGTGTGGGGGGAGCTTGGTAGAGACACTAGTCTTTTAACATTGATTTCAAGCTAAAGTGTCTAGTCATCAATGATGGATCAACATGGTATACATAGCCGCATGTTGGTTGGGATTATAGTATGTAAATGCAACGCCCATCTCAGTATGTGCACCATATTTTGCGGCCACCTACTAGTGATAAACTTTTTCTATCAACGCCGCTTAATGACAGCAGCTTGTACATAACCCGAATTGAACCATGCAATCATGTGGTTGATATTCTGAGCATCTTCGTCGGACACGTTGAAGCGCAATCAAGTTACAGAGTCTGATCATCCGATCCAGTTGGTCGCCTCTTACGACTAAGATGCTTAGGGCCAACTTTAACCTGGAATGCCCATATGAGCTGTTAAGGAAGGGTGGGTGAATGAGTGAGTGAGTGACGTTTAAGCCGCTTTTAACAAGATTCCAGCAATATCAAGGCGGGGGACACCAGATATGGGCTCCTCATATTGTCCCCATGTGGGAATCGAACCCGAGTCTTCATCGTGACGAGTGAACGCATTAACCACTAGGCTACCCAACCGCCCCGTTAACAGAGGAGACAGCGGGTAGCCCAGTGGTTTTGCAGAGGACCCGGGTTTGATTCCGACAAAAATTAAGTGTTACGCGGCAGTAGAGTTTGTTTGTAGATATATTTGCTGTTTCATTTGCTGTCCATGATCGGAGCGGTGATTCATTGTCAAGCGATGCGAGATTGCCACTGTAGGTGTATCAGAGTTATGTCCCTTCGTTGTTGACAAGCATGGGAAGCTAGATCTGTCAAGACGTTTCGGGATGTGAGAGTTTTAGAAGGCTGACTGTACGTATATAACAGACACATGGTCGGCTTTCACGTCCTCAATGTCCTATGTACTTGGGGAAGTCGGAGTAGTTTCCTATCTCAAAACATAGATTTTCTTTCGGTTTCCAAATCAATTCTAGATTAAAAAACCAGACATGTCTGTTTCAAAGCACAATCACTACAGCCACATAACAAACGTGCAAAGCACATTTCAGGTTAACCGTTTTACCTGACATGAAACAACAGGGACACTGGTGACAGTAGCATAAAGGCAAACTCACTAATAGCAGAGACCATATAATTATATGGTCTCTGCTAATAGCTGTGTCGCGTTTCTCGCACGTCCATATGAAGTGAACAATATAAAGCATCATAGATTATATTTCGTGCGTTCGTGCGTACATGCGTACGTGCGTATATGCATGTGCACGCCTTTTTCATACCATCGTTATGATCAAACCTAGCAATCTGTATTGGCTCCTTGAGTGGTAACAACCTGTTCATACTAACTTGTTAGCTATCCTGGGGACCGATTCTGGGAAAACCAACTGCCAGCTGTTAAACTGTCTGTGCAATCTACCGTGAAGATCGGGATCGGGTGGTCAGGCTCGCTGGCTTGGTTGACACGTGTAATCAGTTCCCAATTGCGCAGATCGACGCTCATGCTGTTGATCACTTGATTGTCTGGTCCAGACTCTATTATTTACATATAGCTGGAATATTGCTGAGTGCTGCGTAAAACTACACTCACTCACTCTGTGCAATCTGTTTGAACCAACTGGCTAGCAGCTTTGGGTGTCTGAGCCTGTGAAAGCTTACCTACTAGCAGTCCTGGTGTCTTAACAAACTGTTTCAAACCAAATTGCTACATGTACTGGTTAGCCGTTTTGATGTCTGAACCTGTTTGAACTAAGTGAGTAGCTGCCCTGGTGTCTGAACAACCTGTTAGAATCTTGGTGACTGAAGCTGAAAAAACGTACTAGGTAGCTGTTCTTCTGAAAGTCTGAATCACCACCTGAAGTAACCAACTAGCCATACAGCTAGAAGTTTGAAACACTTCCCTGAGATAATAATGGCCACTTATATAGTGCTGAACTCCATGCGGCAAGGACATGCTCCAGGCGCATAAAACATGGTACACATTATTACCCTGGATAACCCAAGCTGCCTGTGAGGCGCTACAAGGTTAATAGTCACATGACTTATCCCACCGGGTACCCATTTTCTGCTGGGTGAACACGCAATTTTGAACAAACTCACTTGCTTAAGGTGAGAACACATGCGTGCTTGGTTGTGCCGCGTGACTGATGTCCTGAAACTCTCAGGAGTCAAGCTGCCAAACACTGTCACCCATTGATGGACTCCCATGAACCCATGCTGAACTTCAACTGATTTGTGACCTGAGCTTTATGCACAAGACAACACACCACACTGGCTAGCTGTCCTGGTATAATACATGTTCTATTTGCGATTACACTTTCTCAGTACTGATACAAGTACTTTTGTTGGTTTAGTCCAATCCAGGATTTGAATCCACTATCTCAGACAGCAACCAATGTCATTCAGAGAAATCTGCTGTGGGAAGACATACTAATTCACATTTGCCAGAGGGGTACACAAAGCACATGATCTGGACTACCGGTTGTCATGGAAACTGTGGCAGCTGAGTGGGTTAGATCGTTGATTTTATGTGGCATTGTGAATCTATGTCCAGGCATAAGTCTGAATAACCCAGGAATCATTGGCTAAGTGTTCTGGAGTCATTCCAAACTTTCTTCTACAGGTGTGTAGATAGGGAATACCAACACAATCTGAGCAATATGTTGACATTCAAAGTCGCAGTGTTAGCCGTTACCGTCAATATTCAAACTTCCATTTTCACATATGACAGGAACACTGGTGTGTGCCTCCAATCGTGTAGTTTCCACAATACCCATATGAAACTGCCACACCTAATAATTAATAGTTACAAAAACTAAGACCCTAAAGTTATCGAAGATGCACTGAACAGAATACGACATTTCTCATATATTTGTTTTGTTTAAAGTCATAAATGACTTGCCTCAACATGCTCCACGTTCTGAGCCTCGGGTAGAAGGGATCTGGTAAAAAGACAAGCTACGATGTGCATACCATGTCATTTATATTTATTTACAAGTTCCTATGTACAAAGCATGTCATATTAGAGCCACCAAAGAGACAAGTCCTTGTCTTGAGATGGGGGACATCTGGGTCTTACATCATCTGGAGTGTTCTCTTCCATGTCACTACCTACTGCAATCACTGCCTCCAGGTCACCTCCACTTCATCTGTTCGAAACCTGAAACATCCATCACATGTCAGACTCAACAGTGAGTGAGTGAGTGAGTGAGTGAGTGAGTGAGTGAGTGAGTGAGTGAGTGAGTGAGTGAGTGAGTGAGTGAGTGAGTGAGTGAGTGAGTGAGTGAGTGAGTGAGTGAGTGAGTGAGTGAGTGAGTGAGTGAGTGAGTGAGTGAGTGGAGGAGTGAGTGAGTGAGTGAGTGAGTGAGTGAGTGAGTGAGTGAGTGAGTGAGGAGTGAGTGAGTGAGTGAGTGAGTGAGTGAGTGAGTGAGTGAGTGAGTGAGTGAGTGAGTGAGTGAGTGAGTGAGTGAGTGAGTGTACTTAACACCACCTTAACTGTATCTATTACATCACTGCTTGTCAGCTTAATGTGCAGTGCAGGTGTAAAGCTATTACCTTTTTAGCCATATCAGTACAACTATGGTCCTGACAAAAGGAGCGAGTGAGTGTGAGTGAGTGAGTCGAGTGTTTTACGCTGCTTTTAGCAGTATATCTCGGTGGGAAAACACCAGAAATGGGCTTCACACATAGTAGTCATGTGGAGAAATCAACATGGGCCTTCGGCGTGACGATCGAACGCTTTAACCGCTGGGCTACCCCACTGCCCCCTGATAAAAGTAGGAACAGAATCAAGACCTGTTATCAACATTTTTCAGGCCTGACTAAGTCTGCAGAGAGAATTACATTGCCTTCCATGACTGGCTTGACATGCCCTCCTGACACAAGAGGAATACATTATACAATGTGCATCACACATGACGGTTCAATTCACATGGATGACTCCACAAAGCATGACTCACACAGAGAACAGTTCCAATAACATCTGTTTTGAAAGCATGATAAATAAACAAAGCAATATTTTCAATCAATATACGTTTAGGAGTTGACAATACCTAGTTTAATTCATGTTCTGGTTGTTTCGTAAACTAACTGGGTATATATCTGCTTCTAATGTTGCTGTAATGATCACAAATAGGAAGAACATGGTATTCGTCTTCCGGTACTTTTAATTTGCATTATCTTAACTCACACATAACTGTCGTTTTCTGATTGGCTGAGCGCTCTTCTATTATTTTCAATGAATCCAGTCCCGCTTAGGGCTGGAACGGGTAACCCAGATACCCGGGACTGGTGGGTAATGAGTGGGTTTGGTTTTTCACTGCTTTTAGCAATATTCCAGCAATATCACGGCAGGGGATACCAGAAATGGGCTTCATACATTGTACCCATGTGTCAATCGAACCCAGGCCTTCGGCATGACGGGCGAACGCTTTAACCACTAGGCTACCCCACTGCCCCATGGGTGGGTAATGAGTTAGACCTGGGTACCCGTCTCAATACCCTGACCCGTTATGATCATGTGACTAACAGATTAAACAATGTAATATGTTATACTTCATGATTAAGAGGTTGTATTGTCTTTGAAGATTTAGATTTAGGTAATTTTTTAATATAATACATGGTTAAGATATTGAAAAACCTGAACTTTTAGTCTCCAAGCTGAAAAATCTATTGCCCTTTGGTACAAATTTGATGTCAGGGATTAACATAACGGGTATCTGGGTAGGGCAAGGTAATAGGGGGTGGGGTACCCGGGTAGAAAATTTAGAACCTACCCAGCCCAACAGGCCAGTAACATTTTCTATGTTGCCTGCTGGGAATTCCAAACTGGGGGAATTCATTTGGTACAGTCAAATATTTAAAGCTAAACTGTCCTGCTACTGTTCTACAGATAAAGGCTAAGATACATGTTTTCATCAAATCTGAGAAATGTATCAGCTTGAACCACAGATCACAATAACTCACCACTACAAAAAATATAGTATTTATAATGTTTCTGTGCTCTCAAAAACCTGAGTGATAGATCGGTTGCTTGGTGTTGATAGCAGAAGATCACACTGCTTTGCAATGCTCAGTGGGTGTACAGTCCGTTTGAGTCAGAAACGGACCGATGAATTGCAAATTTGATCATTGTACAAAATTGCCACATAAAATATAAATAGTACAAATGTTTATCATTTACTAATACCCAACAGCTTTCTTATATTTGAAATCATTGAAAACGCAAAAGTTGTTATCTGTCGCGGCGGGGTAAAACCACAGAAACGGAACAGCCAATATCTCGTCGTGCACGGGATACACATGCCTGATGAAAAATGAAGTTGAATGCTGACGTGAAACAGTTGATGATGAAAGTGTACGATTTTTTCCGTGCTGAAGCCGAAAGGGGCAAACCATTTTATGCCATTAATAAATTCTGTAAGCGGGCAGCAAAAGCTTTAGGAGTATCAGCAAGGGTACTGACAAATGTTCTGGAACACAAACATTGTGAGGGTGATGCGAAGCAGGTAGGGGTTGTGTCAAAATCACACAAATGAAAACAAGGCTGCGACTTGGTATTCAGGGCAAAGTCCACAGATAACAGAGACTACCATTCCGAGATGAATGGTGCGGTTTTCCTCGATTGGGTTAAAAACAAGTTGGTACCAGCTCTACCAGAGAAGTCTTTTATCGTAATGGACAATGCCCCATACCACAGCCTGCAGGACCCCAACAGTAAAGCCCCGACATCGAACAGTCGAAAAGGTAATATGATATCATGGCTCGACAAATTTCAGATCGCACAGCCTTCAAAGGCAACGAAGCCTGAGCTATATGAGATCATAAAAACCCACAAAGGTGAACCTTTCTACAAAGTTGACAGTTACATAACAAGTAAGGGTCACGATATTCTGGGACTTCCACCCTATCACTGTGACCTTAACCCCATTGAAATGATATGGGGTATTGTCAAAGGAGATGTTGCCAGATCAAACACAACTTTTAGATTACGTGACGTAGAGGTTTTGGTTAAGGAATCCCTTAACAAAATCACGACTGAAACTTGGCAAAACTGTGTCAACAAGGTAGCTAACGTCATTGAACAAAGTTACTGGTCTCGGGATGGCTTACAACAGGCAACTGTGGCACCACATGTCATCCCTTTAAGTCGTGACTATGACACTACGACGGACGAGGAACCGACAGGTCTCCCGGAATAGATTTTGAGATGTCCCCCGCCATGACTGGCTGTTCCGTTTCTGTGGTTTCACCCCGCCGCGACAGATAACAACTTTTACGTTTTCAATGATGATAGTTTCTTAAACAACTTTTTTGGTGGAGTCCGGAAAATTTTCAAATATAAGAAAGCTGTTGGGTATTAGTAAATGATAAACATGTGTACTATTTATATTTATGTGGCAATTTTGTACAATGATTAAATTTGCAATTCATCGGTCCGTTTCTGACTCAAACGGACTGTAAATAGCAAGCCAGTGAGGTGCGTGGAAAAACTCATGTCATTTCAAAGTGTCATGGCTGCACTTAGAACTTTGATACACACTTTACCGGCCACTACTTCATTACTCGTACCATGACTTCAGTTCTATGTCCATGTTAAGGTATGAGAGTTACCATCACCTCGGTGCTAAAATCTCTTTCTGAACAGACCGTTGAGCTACAATGTATGTAATTTCCAAGGCCTGTAATGTAACACTGCATTTCCTACCTCTGGGTGCAGCTTGTCTCATTGAGTGGAGTAGTCTGCCCTGCTTTAAACATCTCCCATCCAGCCTGTGCAATCATGGCACCATTGTCGATACAGAACCTGCAATGGACAAATTTCTGCTGTACTCAGTAAGTGAGTGTGTGAGTGTGCCTGTGTGAGACAAGTCAGGTCTGTAGCTTCATGAATGTTGTGAAACCAAAGAGCAGGGGTATGGTTCTATCAGTGAGTCAGTTTTATGCCACACTCAGCAATATTCCAGATATATGGGGATTCTGTAAATAATTGAGTCTGTACCAGACAATCCAGTGATCAACAGCATGAGCATCGATCTATGAAAATGGGATCCGATGACATGTGTCAATCAAGTCAGCAAGCCTGACCACCCGATCGTGTCAGTCGCCTCCTATGACAAGTCTGGTGAGGTGAGTGTATTGAGTGTGGCATTAATAAGAAACAAACAACAAACAGAACAACATAACCTGATCATCATTGTCTACCAAATTAACAAAACATTATTCTCAGAGAATTCATATCTAACATGATGCAATGTTCAAATTCATCCAACTGTCAATTAACTTACAACTGGTGCTTCAAGGTAGCTAACTCATGGTCACCTACCTCTGATCTGTAGCATATAGAATTGCCTCCCTTTCTTCAGCCATCTTCTCCATCATGTCTTGAAGTCTTTTATTGCCTGGATCAGAGTAAAGGCAGCCTTAAACACTTACACCAGTGTAACTTAAATATGTCTACGGAGGAAATGTATGTATATATATCCTGCTGCATATGTTAGCCCCTCTACATCTGGGAACTACAACAGGTCGGTGATATAAACCGATTCCTCTCTGAATTTGTTAATCGTATTATGGTTATCTATGAACAAGAGTGGCACTATGCTTTATGCAATGGATAAAAAAACATCCCTAATTTCTTCGATTAAAATGTCATTTGTTCATGAAATGTACATAGACACTTTAACACTGTCAAAATTTCAAAATACTCTAACTCGCCTAATGTGTGGTTCCCACATTCGCAATAGAAACAGGTTGATATATTTAGCAGGATAGACCAGACAGACCATGTTTAGTTTGTAAAGAACCATATATTGAGGATTATCATTTTATTTGCATTTGTAGTGCCTATGAAGAAATCAGAACCAAATTTATATCTGAAAAATACTTTGTCCATCCTACACATCACAAATTTGCAATATTGATGTCCATAAATAATGAATTAACTTAGCTATTTATGTGTACAAAGCAATGCTTGTCAGACAAAATATTCTCAATGTATGAAATGTTAATGTCTCCCATGCATATCATAGTGATTTGGGCCTAAGGCCTCCCCATTTCAGAAATATACTTGACTTGACTTGTGAGTCCCTCTTCTACTCAGTTCCTTGTGGTCAACCTTAAACCTCTGACTGGGACCAACAGAATCTGAAGATTTGTCTCGTCCTTCAATCAACTAATTACAAAATGTTATCCTCAGTTTCATGTTTGAAAGTTCACATATTTAAGACAAATGTGTCGAAACAGTGAAAAATTATCCTACAAAGTGAAAACCTATTTCAAGCTGTGTATTTATCTCCATGCTGTATGGTTCCATGTGCAGACACTGAAGCCCATTGTATAAGTGACAATAAAGTTACTTCAATGAGTAGAGATACAGGTCACACACCGTTGTGTCAAGAAGTAGAAGAGATCTACGTAAATACTTAGTTATACAAGAGTCGACATAAATGAAAAATGATCAATCAACATACTATCAATTATGATTAAACAATACCATTTAGAAAATGGTCAAATGTAACATATGTAATATTTGGGATTACACTTTCTTAGTAAAGTACTGATTCTAGTACTTTTGTTGGGTTGAGTCCCATCCGGGATTCGAACCCACACCAAGTCTGGCAACCATTCAAAGTATTCCACCTAACCCACTCAGCCAACGCAACTAGTGCAGGTAACAACGTGAAAGATGGCAAGAATGACTAGACTCACAGCCCACTCCTCCCACGATCATGACCTCCTGGGACCTGCAATGTGCCATGGCTCGCTCTGCAAAGCATACAGGTTATACACGTTTCATTATATGCTCATATACAGACATATACACCTGATACTTTGTATTATAAACAGTGTTCCATGGTTGTCAGTGAAACATATCATATGATACTTAAAGTAAGAACTGGCTTCAATGTTTATTTCCATGCATGAGGAACAAAACCCCTCTGTAAAAAGTATGTACACAATTTCTCTGTTTTTCCTCCATAAAGCACAAACATTTATTCTATACCCATGTAAACTTAGGATAGTGATACAGGGGTGCAATACGGATGACGTGGTCAAATTCCATATTGCCCCCCAGATTCTGTATTGAACCCCTACCACTACACTATGATTTGTTTGATTACATAACAGATTAATGCAAGATAAGAGGGTATATGATAAATATAGAATGTCATACTAGTGCATTTGGATGTTTTGTTTTGAACGAGAAGATGTCATGGGAGCAGAGAAACAACGAGTTCGAAGAGAAACAACGAGTTCGAAGAACGAGTTGTTTACTCTGCTCCCATGACATCTTCTCATTCAATACAAAACATCCAAATGCACTAGTATGACGTTCTATATATATATTGAACAACAAATATCAATACATAAATATAATCAGTCAAAAACAGAAATGTCTCTGACTGGTATTTAATTAATTACTATAAAAACATTGTAGACAAAGATATAGACTCAGGGACATTATCAAAAGCAAAAATGCAAACAAACCCATTCTAGCATTCAGACAATCAATGACCAATTGTCCACAAGAGAGCAAAAACCTACTTTTTAAAATTGCTTCATTAGCCAAACATACACTATCAAATGACTTGCAATGTATTTATTCATCTGCACCAGGTTAATCACGAATAAAGTTTACCTGTCACTTGAGCCCAAACTCATATGTAAAGTTTCAATTGGGAAAACGGTAGTCCCCTGTAATCTTTATCTGCAGACAGATTATTCTCACATGTAATCACCGCGTACGGGCAGATAAGTCTCACTTGTAAAATCCATCTGGGGCCTGGCTAGTATTAGATGTACCCTCCACCATGGGACACATTAGTTTCATCTGATTTTTATGTGTAACCCCCACCTGGTGACTACTAGTCTCACCACTAATCTCCATCTAAGAACTAACATGTCTCACCTGTAATCTCCACCTGGGAACTTATGATTCTCACCTGTAACCTCCACCTACGTACGAATTAGTCTTACCTGTAATGTCCTCCTGTGCACTAAATAGTCTCACCTGTACCTCCCATGGGAACTAATTAGTGTTACCTGTAATCTCCACCAGCATAGCAAAGACCGTTTCCTGCAGGGAGAAGCACAGATCCTCTGGTGTGTATTCCCCCGACTTGACCAGCTGAGGGGCTCGCTCCTGCATTTACAGACATGTCGCACTTCAGAACCAGGTGCATATAAACATGCACTGAGATGTATTGTCCATATTGAGATGTTGGCTTAAGCCCAATTGCCCTTGAAACTAAGATGTTCAGTCATTTCATAGTTTCAGAATAAGTAAATGTTGTGTGGTAGTACTAATGAGGCAGAATTTTTCAACTGTTAAATCCACACATAGTGCTGTGACTGACCTCAATGTAGGATAGTAGGCCTGAGAAGGATACGTCCATCCCCTTCACGGCATATGGCAGCTCCAGGAACTTGTTTCCCCTGAAGAAAAACACATCAACCCTGATGTGAATGCAATACAACATCTCCACAACAATACAACATCCCATCCTCGATTATCTCCAGGGTATACGTTCCCATAAATCTCCACTATATCCTGGATGCATCTACGAGCCGATGATCTATTACCTCCCTTTGCTGGCTCCGCATTCTCACAGTAGCCAATCAGATAAGCCGCCGTTACAACCGAACTTGCCAGTGTCAACAAAAGTAGTGGTTGCAGCAGCGAAAGTTTGTTCGCACTGCGACTCAGATTTGGGGGGAAAACATACAGACAAATTGACAGGTCAGAAATCTTAAAAAAATATATGTAAGAACTCATTCTACCTCTTTAAAGTACCTCTTCAACAATATATTATTGTGTTGCTAAGTTTAATCGGTTAGATAATTTAAAAAGCGAAAGTGAGTTATGATTGGTACACTCAACTTCCCAGCGTAGACACCTGATTGGATAAAAAGTCAATCAATGGAGGTAATAAAATCATCGGCTCGAGCCGTAGATGCATCCAGGCTATAGTGGAGATTTATCGGAACGTATACCCAGGAGATTATCTAGGATAACAACATCCCTACTGTAAATACAACACAACACTATCACATACACAGAGTAACATAGTAACAATCTGTCTCGCAGTCTCTGAATCATACCATTTTCCCTATTGCACAGCCCTTACTGTCCAACAGTCCTACATATGAGTGAGTGAGTGAGTTTGGTTTTACGCCGCTTTTAGCAATATTCCAGCAATATCACGGCAGGGGACACCAAAAATGAGCTTCACACATTGTACCCATGTGGGGAATCGAACCCAGGTCTTCGGCGTGACGAGCGAACGCTTTGACCATCAGGCTACCCCACCGCCCGTCTACATATGAAGCTCAAGTAAATGTCAAGATGTTCTTCGGGTTCATCTCCACACACAATGAGATTTCTTTTCAATTTGAAATGAGTTGTTTGTTTTTGTCCAAATCATATATCATCAGAGACTTAGTGCATGCTTAACATATTGACAGCAGCAGCTCAGTGCTGAACCCAACCACGCAAGTGGACTACCTGCCTTTTTGCCATCTGCTCTATGTTGTAACCTGGACTGGGGTCATTAGACAACTGCAACAGACAGGGTATGGATTATTGGCCTCTAACATCACGTGGTTTCCCTGCTCAAGAATATACCAAACAGACATGAGCACATAGTGTTTTATTACACAAGCAATAATGTTGTTACAAGGACAGTCACAACTGAAAAAACAAAGTCATTCCACACAGTATATATCATTTTGGAGTAGTTTGGCAAACCTACTGACATACCTTTAGAACTCGGGCGAATCTGTCCAAGCAGTTTCCAACAGCAATGTCAATTGTTTCACCAAATATTCTATACCTACGATGAGAGTAAGATATCACCTGAAACAGAGACACAGCCTGCCAGATCACACAATACAAGGAACTACAAAAACACATTACCCATGACAATACCTGTGTTTCAAGAATACACTAACTGCAAATAGCTGCAAAGTTGCTGATGCGGCTTTAAGCAACATTCACTCACTCACTCACTTAAGAATACACTGCATGTGTTATTGTTCAATCCAAGACTAGACTAGTGTCTGCAAATGAGCACAAAACCAAAATGCAATCAGGGGTAAAGTTGATTCAAGCAAATGCAAGTCATTCAGACTAGGTAAAACTTAACATATGTTATATTTGGGATTACACTTTCTTAGTAAAGTACAGATTCTAGTACTTTTGTTTGGTTGAGTCCAATCCAGGATTCGAACCCGCACCCTCCCAAATGGGACTCAACCCAACAAAAGTACTAGAATCTGTACTTTACTAAGAAAGCGTAATCCCAATTCTAAGATGCCTAGCGGTTAGAACAATCGAAAAAAAAATACATTATCAGACAATAAAGGTATAGTTTTTTGATGACGTAACAATTGAATGACGTTATCCCGTCACTGCGCCATTCTAGTGTGCCCCCTCGTGATCGAACCATTTTACATTACGTCACAATGTAACTACACCGTTGCATCCAGTTTCTTGGTTTGCTGTTGCTTCACGCAGCTAACATCACTGGTGGAAACATTACGTTTATGTTTTACGACGGTTAAAATGTGTCATTTCGACTCACAAGTTTTCAGCGACACGGTAACGTTCGTAATGTTTACATTCCCACAATGCAATTGTGGAATGTCGCTTGACTACTCAACTTCCTCTGGATGTACTGATCTAAACTTACGCTGGTAGTAGAAATGCAACGTTCATATTGCCCCATATGGTTTACGTTAATGACAGATGTAATTAAAATAATTCAGAGAAGATATTTAATCCGAAAGTCATCAAACTCTTATCATTTGTTTTTTTCTGGTAACGCTCGCCTTAACGTTAGGGGCAGACACATCAATAGAACAGCCAGTTAGCCCTGTAATGCGAGGATTCTTAATTTAGGTCACCGACACCGTCGTTTGTTTTCTGCCCTAAATTAATCGTAATTATCTTTAGAAAGTATTAAATTTGGCATCTTAGAAAGAAATACACTTAGCCCTACCACCATGTATAGTGTAATAAAACACACTTTAGCCCTGAACTATTATATAACGTAAAAGCACTGGACGCATGGCGTCCTCGTGCTTAACTATAATAGTTCAGGGCAAAATGTGTTTTATTACACTATACATGGTGGTAGAGCGAAGTGTATTTCTTAAATATGACATATGTTACATTTGACCACTTTCTAAATGGCATTGTGTATTTCATAGGTAAAACTTGTAAATCTCACTGATATTTGTTGGGAAGGAGGTAAACTGATCCATTCATGGTGTTACAAGTCTCTTGACAGACACACAAGTGATAACATTATTTGCTTGTGTGTTGCCTTACACCTCAGTCATCAACACTTCAGCTATATATATATATATATATATATATATAGTAAGGAACAGGGTAAATAATCACATCTAAGCTTGGCAAACCAGGGGTTGATATCAAGAACATCACCCTGTGCCAATGAGGAACAAACAAGTCAACATAAGAATGTACAAATATCAATACAAGATGATGTACAATAAAGCTAGGGAACTATTCACTTGTGTCCCCAACAACATTGTAAAAATAATTCTGTCTGACACTATAATTGTATATTCTTAGACCAGACTAACCTGAGTGTTCCCGCCACTGACGTACAGAACTGTTGGGTTCTTGGCCCCGGTGATCAGACGCCCCATCTCAATGTCTGACCTGGATAAGGAACTTTACAACCACAATGTACATACTGTCTACCGCTACATACTGTCTACCGCTAAATACTGTCTACCGCTACATACTGTCTACCGCTACATACTGTCTACCGCTACATACTGTCTACAGCTACATACGGTCTACTAGGGTGGATATACCAGTATATGGATACAGACCTGCCACCATCAATACACAATATATGAGTACAAAGGTGTTAACCTGAAAGAGGTGTCTGGGGATGTATTAAGGTGTAATGGCACCCAAGGAAGGGGCAGAAACAAGGATACGACCGATGCAGTGGTTGACTGCTACGATGGGTTTCTGCCACAACTGGGCCACAGTGCGTGCCACAATAGCAGTCGATACGAGCGGTGCCCCCATCCCTGGCCCTGGAATACAATCATAACTGTATTAACAGTAACCATATCTATTAAAACTAACAGTATCTGTTTCAACAGTAACCGTATCTGATTTACTGTTAACATCTGTATTGCAGTAACCATAATTGTATTAACACTTAATAAGAGTCATTCTCTTCCCACAGAGGTTACTCCTGTCATATCTTCCTACGTAACCTCTGTTCTAATACGGCCCTTTCAGGGTGTGAGCGTTCAAGACTCGTGATTGGAGGCAATCAGATTTAGTTGTGCAATCAGCGACGTTGTTTCAAAAGTGATCATTCGCAAGGCCTCAGTATTTTTCCGTATGCTTCGAGAAAATTAAACTTCTTCCCCTGCGCGATGCGCAAATGTTTCTTCTAGACAGAACTGAGTCATGTTATGGCGGATCAGTGGCGTCTCCATAGCCCTCGTTGACAACGGACAAGCTAGCCATTAAACGTCTTGTGTGTAACATCAACACAAGTCCCGGCAGATGGGGGATATTTGTGGCCCCACATTTGCTTGTGTTAGTCAAGTTGAATCTAAGTCGATGTAACACGTGTTCTGATTGGATAGAAAGAAGGGAGATAATTTGTGTTGCGATCTTTTGCCGCTAGGGGATTTTACGAGAACCGGGAAATATGGCCGTATTAGAACAGAGGTTCGTAAGAAGATATGACAAGTAACCTCTGTGGGAAGAGAATGAATAACAGTTAGCATATCTGCATTACGAGTGAGTGTTAATGTACTACCAGTAACCTTAGCTACATTCAGAGGTATCAAGAACCCTTGAGTTTTCTTTGTCAATATTCAGATTCACATTGCAAAAGATATCAGATTTATTATATTGCACCACATGTTTCAACATACTCTGCCATGTTACTAGTAGCTCAGCCAAAATTTTGCTGACCACATCTAAAAATTCAATCAAAGTCATACTCTGCTTCTGGTAGAGGCTAGTGTTACTAATTCATCTCAGCCAAAATTTTGTGGTGAAGCAGTCATCACAGACAAGATGATGGATAACATGGCTGAATACCAGCACCACCACCCAAACTAAACACTGCTTTATCAGCTAGCAACAATCTATCAGTAGCTATACCACAGCCCCCCACTAATTGACTAGATTTGGCTAAATACCCTGGAATATTTTCTTTATTCATATACTACAGTAAAACTATTGAATCTTTTTCAGTTATTTCTTCTGATATGTTTAGACAACACATTAAAGTAAATAATATCAAAAAATGGTGTTTGTTGTTTGTTCAGTTAATTAGTGACAGCGAGGTGAATGTCAGCTTTGCCAATCTGTCAAAGGTCCCGTCCATTGGATTTGATGGCAGTGCCCAGTCTAAATGGGTGGCAGGAAAAGCACTGTGGTGCTGCTGTTTGAGTTGAAATGTCATAAAAATTGGTGGACAATAAGATCAGAAAATCGTCTTTCATGTGGTATATTTTATATTTCAACGAATGAAGCGGAACAGTGTGGAATTGGCGTTTGAAAAACTCCCCCATTTTCAAGTACTCGCCATTTGCAAGGTAGGTCCGTTTTCAATCTGTAACATCGCGTAGCATAGTATCAGCCTTCCATTCCTTTTCTATATTGTTTCAGTTTCTACCTTAAAACTTAAACCAGGCCTGATCAACTATCATGGGGAAACATTACAAGGATATACCAGTTTTATCAATACAACATGGTCACAAGTGGTCTGAACGACTGATGTGCATTACTCTGCTGATGGATTCAAAGCCCATACTTGTACGGATCATAATCCTCAATTCATCAGCAAGAAGCAGAATATGTTGTAAACCTGCAACCATTGATTCTACCTTCTACACTTAACCAGGTTGCCTCCAGCTTGTGATATTTGTACAGGTGTTATATAGATCTGAAAGGGCCCAGCTTACCTTCTCCTGGAGGTGTGATGTAGGTATGACGGGGATTTGACAAAACAACCCCATCTTGTATAATTCCAATGCCCAGCTTGTTAGCGCTGCCTTCAAAGCCAATAGCTATCACCATTCTTCTCCAGATGCAGTTGCGCTGAAGTCATAAAGATGAGATACAACACAAAATTCATGTGATCTCATGAACAAAGTAAGGCTTTAAGAAAGTATGTAAGTGGGGGGTGATGATGATTTAAATAATGAAGCATGTACATTGTGAATGACACCCCCCACCCACCCCCCTTAGATATATGCACAAAGTGTCTGCTTGTCAGGTACAAAATCAATGACCCTTCCCACTTCCCATAATTTTTATAATCCTACAACTGTAAGTCATTGTCCTTTTAATCATATTTTACAAGGGGCCGGGGTACGGGTGGAACTCTTACCCCAAACTCTATTCCGGAAACTCTAACTGTTGAAAGGACACGCCGAACCAAAGCGGTTGGATGATTCCAATTATTACACACGTAATGACTGAAGATGATGTTATATTGCGCAAAGATGTATAATATACGTCACATCACAACAACAAACACATGTGCTTCCTCACCGGAAGTAAATACTTCTAGGTTGTTTCAAAATTTCGATGGAAATCAAACGAACCGTGAGCTACATACTTTAGTGGTTCAGTATCTTTAAGTGAATATTTACATGTATATATCCAAGAAAATTTTGTTTCCTCGCATGCTTTGGTTCAGTACACCGACACTCATACAGTGAAATTTGTATATTTTTTCTTACTTAGTTACGTAACTGGAAGCCTTTTACCATACACTGTTGACCTCACGCAGAGACATGTCCTCGGTATATGGTCTCTGCCTCACGATTATAATTTTATGATGTCTTTTATGTTGAAATATCTGGCGATCACATCGACATTTTTCGAATAAATGTTGCGAACTTTGTGCTTTAAAAATTCTCTTTCTTAGTAGTTTCCCATAACATTCAACTGATGTAAGTTGTAACATATTATTTTATTTTGCCATGCATATACTACATGTGCTAGGGTGAGGAGGTATAAAATCATGCGTAATTTATTGCTTCTTACAACGTCCAATGTCGGTACCAAATTAATCGGATTAAGCTAATTAGCTTCCACGAAACAAAACATATTTCATCGCTCCGTTACATGCATTCGTAACCAACCAGTGTTGTTTGAAGTCGCAAACAATGTGGCTTGCAGGTTACGGAAATGAGCGAGTGGTGACGAATGTATGTGGTGACCTGTCACGAATCGGTCACGAATGTGCTAAAGCACAAGAAAGTCGCGGCTTACTGATCACGTGATATGTCTATTTTTACACCGGCACGTGATTTTTGTCATGTGACTCCGGGCACGTGATTGGATTGATAGACTAGTAAAGGAGCACACAGGACATTATCTGTCCAGTCGTACTGTAAGAATTCCCACGCCCGTCTGCTCACAAGAGGTAGGTTATCTCTACTGATAATCGGTTCGAGTTGAAACACTCGGTAGCCCTGCATTCGACCTTACAAATTGTTGATCGTCATTGTAAAATGATGAATCACGTTCTCTTTCAGTTTCGTTTCTACGTTAAGTAAGTTTTAAAAAACATGAATTTGTTATGTATCGATAGGAGTAGTATCAATACCTTAGAAATGTTAGAGGCGCATGTTGTCTGCAGATAGTCCGATAGACCTAAGATCATCACGATATAGTATATTGACCCCAGGCCCAGTTTCTATTATCTTAGGTCAATGTTGTATGCAGCTGCTATTAAAGTTAGTATATCGTCTTACAGCTACGATAGTCCCTGAACCACATTAATTTCCCTACTGCCAAGCCCTCTGTGCAGTGCTAAAGCCCTAAATAAAGCAATCCTAGATTTCCTCAGGTCTGAATCTCTGGTCTCCCTAGGGTTCCTTTTCAATATAAATGAGCTTGTTTGTTACTATCAAAATTATACAATGTATATATTCAGAGACTAAGCCTTAGTCTACTACGATCACTTTGGTGAGCTGGGCTCAGGTCATGAGAACCTGCAATTCTAGTGGGAGGTTACTGCGTAAATATTGATGCGAATGTTTCTTGTCATCAAGTTCGTTTTAGTACATGTCATTTACATATAACATTATACATATGTATGGAACCAGGAAGTATATATCGATAATGAATGGGTCTGCATGTAACAGGCCTAACCTACTATCATGCACAGTGTCCTACATTGATACATACTGTAGTATACATGGTATAATTGATGTACACTTAAGTTTCTTTTCAAATGAATGTAATATTACTAATAAGAACTGCAGCAAGTATGACCAATGTAACTCTAGATTCAGCTTTGGGGCATATTTTAATTAGGAACAACAATCAGACTGTAATTGTTAGAATGTGTCCCCAGTCCTCGTCAGGATGAACTTTCAATTCAATCAGCTATTTACAGTTCAGACATGGCATGTATATGTTGACATTGACCTTTATAATTGTAACAACATGCCAAAGCCTGTTTGAATGTGCTGGTAATTAAATCTTCCTACTGTTTCTGTTTTATGTTACCGGTAATTATCAGCCACCCTTAAGTAATTACATATGACTATGGCTACATAGCTTTGTTCTGGAGATAATCCCCTGCATAAAGAAGTATATGGATAATTACATGGCCTTGTTTTTACTTTCTTGATTTTGATGCTTACAGAACATAATTACTGTGAAATTAAAAGACTACATTTTTTATTCAAGCATATTTTACTAGGGGCTTGGCATGTGAAAGCTGCTTCACAACATTTCAGCAATCGTAATGCTCTGATCATTGCCTAACTACAGTATTTCTTAACCTGACTAAATGGAGCTTTTGACACTCAGAACACCAATGTAATACGATGCACTTTATAACATTATGAGAAGCCAACAACAAGCTTCCTTGAGGATATTGAGTCATGAACATAAGTAATTTAATCTGGATCCTTATCTAGAACTCCACATTTCTATGTTTTCGGTAGCAAGATTGATGCGATGACTAGTTGTCAACTAGTGTCTGATGTTTCTAGTCAATTGAAGTTTCATGTGTAATGTGTTCCAGGCCATAAAAATTGTGTCTTCTCAACTGGGCTTTGAAATGGAAATTCTACTTGTTTTAATGAATACTTTTTTTCTCCCTCTGAATTTTAGACTTGATAACATGGCTCCTAGCTTCCTAGCACTGGTTGCCATGGCAACAGTGTGCTGTGCTGTGGTTCCGGAAGATGAAATAAAAATGATGCCCGGCTTAAGCAAGCAACCATCATTCAAACAGTACTCAGGGTACCTCAAAGCATCTGGTACAAAGAAATTGCACTACTGGTGAGGTTGATTGCATATTGTTTGAATTCAAACATAATTTCAAATTATAACCATTGTATTATTTGTGAGTAGAAGTTTTTGTATTGAGGTGAATCAGGAAATATGCATATATTTTAAAGTGAATGAATCTTTAGTATGTATAAGTGCGTGTCAGTGTATTTCTTTTGATACATGTTGTTCAGTTCGTTAATACCAGCCAGGTGCTGTCACCTGGATACCTGCCATTAGGTGCCAGCCCTGCACTATTGACATGATTACTGGGTTACCTCCCATGAGGGGCAAGCCATGTGCTGTCACCAGGGTACCTGCCATATGGTGCCAGCCATATTGTATCACCAGGTTACCCTCCCATGTGGTACCAACCGGCCGTGTACTATCACCGGGTTACCTCCCCTGAGGGGCAAGCCATGTGCTATCACCAGGGTACCTGCCATATGGTGCCAACCATGTTGTATCACTGGGTTTTGATTAGGTATGACATAAGGCAGAACATACCTGCTGAGTAAACTTACTCAATGACATAATACTTAGGTGAGTAAAATGACTGAAATACGCACATATTTGAAATCAGTGGGTAACGGAAAATGAAATACCCACTCAACATTCATAATACCCACTCCCCAGTAATACAGTGGGTACTGATACATAAAGCTATATCAATCTGGAGCTCAGATACCATTCGACCCACTCCATGCAAAATGGTGATCTGTATGGACCATATGTACCACCAGGGTACTGCCGATCTATCTGCACAGTTCATATGTAGAAGTATATACCAGGACACGTTCCTCATGCATGGTGATCTGTATGGACCATGTGTACCACCAGGGTACCTGCCACGTCTACTTCAATCTGCACAGTTCATATGTCGAAGTATACCAGGACACGTTCCTCATGCATGGTGATCTGTATGGACCATGTGTACCACCAGGGTACCTGCCACGTCTACTTCAATCTGCACAGTTCATATGTAGAAGTATACCAGGACACGTTCCTCATGCATGGTGATCTGTATGGTCCATGTGTACCCACCAGGGTCCCAGCATATGTAATGGCGTAGTGTTGTTGCAGGTTTGTGGAGTCCATGAACAACCCTGCTACTGACCCAGTAGTACTGTGGCTCAATGGCGGTCCAGGCTGCAGCTCAGACCTGGGACTTCTTACAGAAAACGGACCTTTCAGGGTAAGTGCCGATGAACATATGAAAAAATTTGATCGATATCAGTCATGTTAAATAAACTGCCACTTGCATTTTTTGGTGCTCTCTATTATATATCACATTGGTATGATTACAGAGATGTCAGTAGGATTTCAGTGATGAGTTTCAGATTCAAGACGAATGAAGGCATGGGGGCTAGAAGGATGGCAACCAGATTATTTAAAAATATCGAACATTGTTAACCAGAGTTAAAATACCTTCTTTTTTGCCCAGTAGTATCTGAAGTACTTTAACACTGTATTCAGTGCTGACCATTTTCTTATTTTGACCTGCAGTTTAATAGCCAGTTATTATCACCTGACTTTGACTAGACCAAATGGAAAATTCGATATTCAAACTTGTAAAATGTACCAACATTCCTTTGACATGTTTAAAACATGATAATACTTGTTGGATTAACAGTGTGTTTTTACAATTCATAAAACTAATATTCATTTCAACATCTCCAGTATCCCTAAAGCTTGACAATGACAAGGTATGTAGTTAGAAGGATATAATATTTACGGAATTATTTAACTATTCCAGGTGATGCCTGATGGGAAGACTGTGACGTACAGTAAGACCAGCTGGTCATCGGTAAGAAGTTGATACATAGTGATACTCACTAATAAGTACACACTGTTCTTTATAACTGATCACATGGAAATCCCAAGGTAAAAGTTGGTCCCATTCAAGACGTGTACACTACACCCTGTCTGAGTGTATATTGAAATGTAATCAGAAATACATCCTTTACAGTAATACTGACAATTTTGGCATTCATTGTTTATCCCAATTAACTATGGTTGTCACTAGAGACGATTATGTGGATCAATTGTTTAGCATGTATGACATCTTAAGTTGTTTGTCATAATACCAAGATGGCTTGGCAGTGTTGTTGAGTACACCAATCACTGATGATTCTGGTTCAAGACTGGATTGTTCGACGGCCACTGAGTTGAATGTTGCTGTGTGTAATGTCAAGTCTGCATATTAAACTTAATTAACATCATGGCCTGTTTAGCTGTATGCCATGAATGATGTTTACCATTTTTATGATGTTGTTTATGATGCTATGTTTGTTGCTGCAGGTGGCCAACATGCTGTGGCTGGAGGCACCTGCAGGTGTGGGGTTCTCCTACTCAGATGACAAGAATTACACGACAGATGATAACGAGGTGAGTCTGTTTTTCATCCAAGCAAAGACAAGACAATTTACATCTGCTCTGTGCGCACATAGCTGGTTGTCTGCCTTTTGCTCTTTTACCACAAAAAGATATGGTCATGTAATGTCTGCTCTTGAGAAACACACAGGTATGGCCATGTACGTTTGCTCTTCAACCACTCAGTGATAGGGCCATGTACGTTTGCTCTTCAACACACAAAGATAGGGGTAGGTGCGTCTGCTCTTCAACCCCTCAAAAATAGGTCCATGTACGTTTGCACTTCAACCCCTCAAATATAGGTCCATGTACATCTGCTCTTCAACCACACAACAATAGGGGTAGGTGTGTGTGCTCTTCAACTCCTCAAAAATAGGCCCATGTAATCTGCTTTTCAACCCCTCAAAGATAGGGCCATGTACGTCTGCTCTTCAACCACTCAAAGATAGGGCCATGTATGTCTGCTCTTCAACCACACAAAGATAGGGGTAGATGCGTCCGCACTTCAACCACACAAATATCAGATGTCACATGTCAGTATGTCTTTGAAAACTCTTTATGAGTGAGTGAGCGAGTTGGGCTTTACGCTGCTTTTAGCAATATTTCAGCAAAATCACAACGGGGGACACCAGAAATGGGCTTCACACATTGTACCCATGTAGGGAAACGAACCCGGGCCTTCGGGGAGATGGGTGAACGCTTTGACCACGAGGCTACCCCACCGCATCAAAACTCTTTTGGAACATCACTCTTAACATTTAAGATATCTTTTCAGCACCTAGTATTGCTCTTGTACCAAGCTCTGCATGTGATACTGATTTCAGGTTGCCCGCGACAACTACCTGGCCCTCAAGGACTTCTTCTCCAAGTACCAGAACTACTCCAAGAACGATTTTTTCATCACTGGAGAGAGCTATGGAGGCATCTACGTGCCAACCCTCAGTTCCCTTGTGGTAGACGACAAGGATATCAACTTCAAGGTAAAATGGTTAACAATTCACTCCTAGTACATGCTGATATTCGTGAAATTAGTGTGCACACATTAAACGTGAAAGATGTGAGTGTCCTTCTCTTGCATGAACACAGTCATGGTATAGTGAGTGAGTGAGTTTAGTTTTACGCCGCACTCAGCAATATTCCAGCTATATGGCGGCGGTCTGTAAATAATCAAGTCTGGACCAGACAATCCAGTGAGCAACAGCATGAGCATTGATCTGCACAATTGGGAACCGTTGACATGTCTCAACCAAGTCAGCGAGCCTAACCACCTGATCCCGTCAGTCGCCTCTTACGACAAGCATAGGGTTACTGAAGATCAATATTCTAACCCGGACCTTCACGGGTCCAGTCATGGTATGTATGTATGTATGGAGATAGTAAGGTTTATTGTCGTCCACAATTCTTTTAACCATTAGGCCACCTTGCCCCCTAAATAACCAAGAGAATTTAGCTGTAGACAAAGTGCTTTTTACTAGGTACCATATTTGGGAGCTTTACACATGTCTACAGTCACTAAAGCCCCAAATGGGGTTGTGGTTCCGATTTCTACATTTCAGAACTAGGGTAGGTAGGTAGGTTTTTTGTTTTTTTGAAAAAAATATTTACATTACTCATGTGTCAGAAAATAAATTAAATTTATTATGTGGTGAGTAAAATTGTTAGGCTCCTCGGGAATATTTAGGGTCGGTCGGGAAATCAGAACCACAAGCTTTTTTTCTTTAGGCCTAATGACACTTGATGACATCAATGTTGAAATCTGGAAGAAAGTCTGGAATCATAAACAACACTGATGTAGGTTTAGACAAGAGTTGGCACTCAGCCACAGCCAGCCCCCCCAAAATGCAGTGATACGAAACCAGAACTGTCAGTCACTCTGGAGTCTCAGTATATTTTTGTTTGTTTTTCAGGGCATGGGAATTGGTAATGGACTCTCCAATGACAAATTCAATGACAACTCCCTCCTCTACTTTGCCTACTACCATGGACTGATTGGAGACAGGTGGGGTAGTCAATGTGGTATCTCTCTTTAGGCATATCATTCCATACCTTTTTCGTGATAAACTGAAATGGTGTCATTTTCCTGATAAAAGTCTTTGCAGTTGAAAATTGTTATAAATTTTGTCAAATTGATTCATAAATTATGTCAAATTGAATCATAAATTATGTCAAATTGATTCATAAATTATGTCAAATTGAATCATAAATTATGTCAAATTGAATCATAAATTATGTCAAATTGAATCATCTCCTGTCTGTCCTTCTGTAGACAACATTGTACCCTTTGGACACTTTATAGATATAAATTGAATTGCTTTTGAAGGTTTATTCCAGGGGTTTGCGATACATGTTGGGCCGCTTTATAGAAGGTGATATATGGAATCTTGACTTTATTATTATTATTAATATCTGTGTGCTGAGATTGGTGTGTTTTGAGGTCATGTTGTACATGTTCTGTTTCAGTGCATTCAAGGACCTTCAGAAGTTTTGCTGTTCGACCAACTCCACTGAGAGGTGTTACTTCACGGACAAGATGCAGGACCAACAGTGTCAGAAAGTGGTAGGTCTAGCTACCTCACTACTGTTGTATTTCCCAGGAGAGCTTTAATGAAAAAGAAGGTCCTCAGTTTTATTCCTGACAAGAAGAGCAGACGGATGAGGGATGGCGGTCTGGACCAATGCTCATGCTCTCTGACATGTGACCCAGATTTGATTATTTGCTGTCTCACATATTACAGGAATATGATTTGGCTGAGCATTAAACAGTTTGTGTTTCTTAAGAGCAGAAATTACATGACCATAACGTTTTATGGTTTAAGAACAGACGCACACTGCAGCTGTTAAATTAAATACTGACACAAGCACTGAAATATTTTACCATGTTTGATCACTGTTCTGATACCCCGACAAAATGGCTTCACCAACCTCCACTATCTGGTCTTTAAATGGCATTTAGAAGTGATATGCAAGAGGAAGAGAGTTTTATCGTTGTCAACATCTTTGTTATGAGGAACACAGCGTTTCAGAGTTATACTTGGATGTCAACTTCTTTATTCACCTGATGAAGGAGTAAGGATATACTCTGAAACATTGTGTTCCTAAAGAAGTTGATGTCCATAAAACTCTCTTCTCCACTATCATGACTTTTGTTTCCAGGTGACTGCAGCATCCAGTGTGGTGTATGCCGGGGGCCTCAATATCTACAACCTCTACGGGGAGTGTGCTGGAGGTGTTATGTCCAGGAAGAGACCAAACTCTGACGTTCTAGAGTCATCTAACTTTGGTTATCCATTCGGATTTCTGGAAAGTGTCAGGAAAGATAGAATGGTAACCTCATTCAGACAAATGTTGAACAGAACCAATGATACTATTTACCAACTAAACCAGACACTTGCCATTTTAAGGACTTACATTCCATCATTCAAGGGCAATGACTGTTGACTTAGTTTTCAGTTTTATCAAATTATTTTAACACTAATGTTTTCTTTGGAAATCAAATAATAATCATGATATTATAATGTATAGTTTCCTGTGATACATGACCTGACACTACAATTCCAGAGATAGAAGCTGGTATGATGAAGAGGAACATTTTTATAGATAGACAACTTCTTTGTTTCAATAGATGATATGTTTCAGTGTACATCCTAACACCGTTATCAATCGAGTCCTGTCTGACTGCTTGAATCCTCTGTTCATCACTTGCTTGATAACGGTGTTAGGATGTACTCCGAAACATCGCATCTGTTCAGTTCCAGAGATGTCAACAGTTACAATTTGAGTCGGAAATGATGCCAGTAGTTAAGGTATGACAGATTAGCTATAGTTACTAGAAGCCTTAACTTCTTTTGTGTAGTATACAATGTTGTTCAATGTGTCATGATGTACCAAACTTTCTGTGTGTTGATGTTGCTGAAGCAGTTGGCTCTACTGTTACAGCGGATGAAGTCGGCTACTAAGCTGAAGGTGGACCCACCATGTATCGATGCCAGGAACGTGGCCAAGTATCTCAACTCGGAGCAGGTGAGGACAGCCATCCATATCCCCAGCGTGGTACAGCAGTGGGAGACGTGTAGCGGGGAAGTCGGCAGCCACTACGTCAGAGTCTACAGCGAAGTTTCTGCACAGTACAAGAAGGTTCTTGCTGCAGGGGTACGTTGTTGTTTTTGAGGTCATAACCCATGAAGATCGGGGTTAGAATTGATCTTCAGCAACCCATGCTTGTCGTAAGAGGCGACTAACGAGATCGGGTAGTCAGGCTTGCTGACTTGGTTGACACATGTCATTGTATCCCATTTGGGTCGATCGATGCTCATGCTGTTGATCACCTGATTGTGCAGACTCTACTGCCACCATATAGCTGCAATAGTCCTGAGTGCGGCATTAAACAACAAACAAACAAACAAATATGTTAAGTCCTTTTCTCCTCTATGGGGATAGAATGGCTGGTTTCCAGCATTCAGTATCTTGTTGTATTAGGTGACTAAATGATTGCTCAGGCTTTGTGATGGTGTGTCATCAGACCGTGACATTATGAGACTTTGAATGGCTGACGAAGGCTTCATTAATTGCACTCAGTCTTATATAATGTGGGACTTTCAAAAATTTAGTTTCAAGAAATAATAAAATAATTTTGCTGGTTGCCATGGAACATGATTTACAGGAACACCTATGCTTTTCAGAAAAGAGTGCTGGTATACAATGGTGATATCGACATGGCTTGCAATTTCCTCGGCGATGAATGGTTCGTGGACGGTCTTGGCATACAGGTGAGAATACTGGACTGTGTTCTGAATACCTGACTGACCCTGGTTTATGGAGCGTAGACCCTTACTTATCTTTTCAATGGCCTCCCCAGTTTGTGACAAAAACAGAGCTCACACAAAAATCTGCCTAACACTGGTAACTTTAGATATATAGTTCTGCAACATAATACATAGATCTGCAACCTCAATACATGCTTGTTGTAAGAGGCGACTTTCTAGATCAGGGGGCCAGACTCAGTGACTTGGTAAATGCATTTCGAAGTATCCCAGTGTCTCATATAGATGCTCATGATGGCAATCACTTGATTGTCTGGTCCAATCCTGATTATTACCCTACTGATATAGCTGAATCCTTGCTGAATGTGCTGTGAAACAACAAACAAGCAACATGTAGTGCCATCTCAAGTGTCCTGTGGTATAATATTGCTGGAATATTGATAGATGCCTACTCTGACACTAAGCCTGTGGAACTTACATGTCTGGCGTTTCATTACGAGCCTTACAATGAATGGAAATACTGATACTTTACACATCAGCTCTTGTTCCCATTGAAGCTGTGTAAGTGTATGTATTGGTCTAAAAGCAGGAGTCACAGTTTGCCAGGACATTGGACTTCATTGTGTATCCTGTTTCAGAACCCGTCCGCCAGGAAGGAGTGGTTCTACAAGGCGGAGGACGGCACAAAGCAAGTGGCTGGATTTGTGAAGCAGTATGACAATCTTTCCCTAGTGACTGTCAGAGTAAGTTGTCTTCATGGCTTTCCACGTGTGACAGTGTGTGAAGAAGAAGAACAAATTTGTGGATTGTCAACTCCTTCAATACAATAGATGCGATGTTTCAGTGAAGATGTCAATTCATAAACTCGTTCCTCTTCATCATACCAGCCTCTAAATGCCACTTAAGGAAGTGTGTGAAGAAATATATTTTGGTAACATTGTGGATGAGTACCTTGCAAATCTCTTATCTCTGACATTCTCAGAATGACTGAGCCACTTTCATCACCTGTATAAGTTATCTTACATGAAAGTAACATACATAGTATCTTATTGTGACTCCTCTGTATAATCTGATTCACCTGACTCACCTGTGGAATCTGATTCACCTGTATAATCTCATTCACCTGACTCACCTGTATAATCTGATCCACATGACTCTCCTTTATAGTCTGATTCACCTGTATAATCTGATCCACATGACTCCCCTTTATAATCTGATTCACCTGACTCACCTGTATAATCTGATCCACATGACTCACCTGTATAATCTGATCCACATGACTTCCCTTTATAATCTGATTTACCTGACTCACCTGTATAATCTCATTCACATGACTCCCCTTTATGATCTGATTCACCTGACTCACCTGTATAATCTGATCCACATGACTTCCCTTTATAATCTGATTTACCTGACTCACCTGTATAATCTCATTCACATGACTCACCTGTATAATCTCATTCACATGACTCCCCTTTATAATCTGATTTACCTGACTAACCTTTATGGTCTGATTCACCTGTATGATCTAATTCACATGACTTCCTATGAAATCTATTTCACCTGTATAAACTGATTCACTTGACCTATCAGTATAATCTCTGAATCTCCTGATGTATATGTGTGGCTTGATCACAATCTTACTGACCTGATTTTCCCGTGTGACTTGCATTGTTTTATTCACAAGAGTTCATGACTTGTCTGCCGATTTATCTACAATGACTTATCTGACTGGTACTTCAATCTCACCGAGCTCAGTTGAGACATCACACACTTCCTACATCCCTCCACCCCTCAGTCTTCTAACACAGCAGAACTTGTACCATTCTACAAATACACTGAGATAGGAGCAGTAGGTTACAGTGTTGATCCTTCCCCATCTAGCCAAAAGGTGTTAAAATGTTGCACTTGTTGTTACGATGCCTGCCTGTTTTTCATGATTAAGGGCATAAAAGTGGTCAGAGTCACTATTTAGAGTTAACATAAACTGCTAATACTATAAAACCTGCATAAATCTGGGTCCATATCCACAGAGTAATCGTAATGTTACAATCTGTCATAACGCTTTTGTTTATCATAGGTTTAACGAGTGTCATAGTTACGTAGGTTTTGTGGATGGGGACCCACGACTAGTACAAGTAACCATACAAACAAGTGCATACGCATGACTATTAAAGTTGTCATTGTATCCCAATTGTGTAGACTGATGCTCATGCTGTTGATCACTGGATTGTCTGGGCCAGAGTCGATTATTTACAGACCAGCACCATATGGCTGGATTATTGCTGAAGTCACTCGCTCACTAAGTAAAATGACATTGGAACAGAAGTTAATCCCCATTTCACTTCTTTGGCAATGTACAACAAAATAACTACAACATGGCTGATGTATGGCTGACGTGTGGCTGATGTGACTCTGTGAGGTCCACCCATATGCTCCCTATGTTTTTTTGACACAGTTTTGTTTGGACAGTACGGAAATCTGGTATGAGGTATTATCTGCTGTAAATAACATTCCCACAGAAATACCATGCTAAACAAACATGTCGAGGTTTAAATAATCTAAATATTGCTGTTGTGTTGCAGGGAGCTGGTCACATGGTGCCAACAGATCGGCCTGTTCCAGGGCTAGAGATGTTCAAGAGCTTCATCATGGGCCAGCCTCTAGTATAACTCTCCTAGCTTAATCTTCATTCAATGGCTACTTAGACTGGCATCTCTCAAACATACTAATCAGTGATTATCTAGAGTGTCTCCATTCGTTACTCTGATACAGAAATATTTTATGCTTTGGAAAAATACTGATTGAAACAATCATGTGGGGGAAATTGTGTGTAAATGTACTGATGAGAGAGATGTCAAGTTGATGTCACTTCCCAAATGTTGAATGTCTTCAGGGTATTGATGATAGAGTGAAGATAAAATACCCTTGATGACTTGAGTCATGCCGTAGTATTTCGTGCAGATGTTGAGGGAATTTACTGAAACTTATCAACGGGAATGTCCCAACTATTTTAAAGTGAGAGTTTCTACTGTGTTCATCCAATGTGTTTGTTTTAGGCAGCTGAATGTGATACACATGGACAGAGGTTCAGTGTGCTATGGATGGATGCTAGTGTGTTGAACATTACCTTTATCATGTTATTGTCATGGTGTTCCTAGCATTCCAGTGCAGGAATCGGTATACATGGTGTTTTCCAGCAGTGTCACCCTGTATACATGGTGTCCAGGTACCCATAGCTGTCAGTATACATGGTGTCACAGCATAGTGTCTAAAGTATACATGGTGTCCAGCATCTAGTGTCAAGGTATACATGGTGTCCAGCATAGTGTCAGTATACATGGTGGTCCAAGCAGTGTCAACTATACATGGTGTTTTCCAGCATAGTGTCGGTATACATGGTGTCCAGCATATAGTGTTTTATATACATGGTGTCCAGCATAGTGTCATTATCTCACATCATATACATGGTGTCCAGGAGTGCCAGATAGTGTCAGTATACATGGTGTCCAGCATTTCTAATTTCTTTTATTTCTTGTGTGTCAGTATACATGGTGTCCAGCATAGTGTCAGTATACATGGTGTCCAGCATATGTGTCAGTATACATGGTGTCAGTAGCATAGTGTCGGTATACATGGTGTCCAGCATAGTGTCAGTATACATGGTGTCCAGCATAGTGTCAGTATACATGGTGTCCAGCATAGTGCCAGTATACATGGTGTCCAGCATAGTGTCAGTATACATGGTGTCCAGCATAGTGTCGGTATACATGGTGTCCAGCATAGTGTCGGTATACATGGTGTCCAACATAGTGTCGGTATACATGGTGTCCAGCATAGTGTCGGTATACATGGTGTCCAACATAGTGTCAGTATACATGGTGTCCAGCATAGTGTCGGTATACATGGTGTCCAGCATAGTGTCAGTATACATGGTGTCCAGTATAGTGTCAGTATACATGGTGTCCAGCATAGTGTCAGTATACATGGTGTCCAGCATAGTGTCAGTATACATGGTGTCCAGCATAGTGTCGGTATACATGGTGTCCAGCATAGTGTCAGTATACATGGTGTCCAGCATAGTGTCAGTATACATGGTGTCCAGCATAGTGTCGGTATACATGGTGTCAAGTATAGTGGTGTCCAGCATAGTGTCAGTATACATGGTGTCCAGCATAGTGTCAGTATACATGGTGTAAGCATGGCGGTGTCGGTATGCATAGTGTCGGTATACATGGTGTCCAGCATAGTGTCAGTATACATGGTGTCCAGCATAGTGTCAGTATACATGGTGTCCAGCAGTATAGTGGTATACATGGTGTCCAGCATAGTGTCCAGTATACATGGTGTCCAGCATAGTGTCGGTATACATGGTGTCAGTATACATGGTGTCCAGCATAGTGTCAGTATACATGGTGTCCAGCATAGTGTCAGTATACATGGTGTCCAGCATAGTGCCAGTATACATGGTGTCCAGCATAGTGTCAGTATACATGGTGTCCAGCATAGTGTCAGTATACATGGTGTCCAGCATAGTGTCAGTATACATGGTGTCCAGCATAGTGTCAGTATACATGGTGTCCAGCATAGTGTCAGTATACATGGTGTCCAGCATAGTGTCAGTATACATGGTGTCCAGCATAGTGCCAGTATACATGGTGTCCAGCATAGTGTCAGTATACATGGTGTCCAGTATAGTGTCAGTATACATGGTGTCCAGCATAGTGTCAGTATACATGGTGTCCAGCATAGTGTCGGTATACATGGTGTCCAGCATAGTGTCAGTATACATGGTGTCCAGCATAGTGTCAGTATACATGGTGTCCAGCATAGTGTCGGTATACATGGTGTCCAGTATAGTGTCGGTATACATGGTGTCCAGTATAGTGTCAGTATACATGGTGTCCAGCATAGTGTCAGTATACATGGTGTCCAGCATAGTGTCAGTATACATGGTGTCCAGCATAGTGTCCATACATGGTGTCCAGTGTGTCAGTATACATGGTGTCCAGCATAGTGTCCAGGTGTCCAGCATACATGGTGTCCAGCATATAGTGTCGGTATACATGGTGTCCAGCATAGTGTCGGTATACATGGTGTCCAGCATATGGTGTCAGTATACATGGTGTCCAGCATAGTGTCGGTATACATGGTGTCCAGCATAGTGGTGTCCAGCATAGTAGTATACATGGTGTCCAGTATATACATGGTGTCCAGCATACATGTGTCGGTGTCGGTATACATGGTGTCCAGCATAGTGTCGGTATACATGGTGTCCAGCATAGTGTCGGTATACGTATACATGGTGTCCAGCATAGTGTCGGTATACATGGTGTCCAGCATAGTGTCAGTATACATGGTGTCCAGCATAGTGTCGGTATACATGGTGTCCAGCATAGTGTCGGTATACATGGTGTCCAGCATAGTGTCGGTATACATGGTGTCCAGCATAGTGTCGGTATACATGGTGTCCAGCATAGTGTCGGTATACATGGTGTCCAGCATAGTGGTGTCAGTATACATGGTGTCCAGCATAGTGTCGGTATGGTGTCCATGTGTGGTCCAGTATAGTGTCGGTATACATGGTGTCCAGCATAGTGTCGGTATACATGGTGTCCAGCATAGTGTCGGTATACATGGTGTCCAGCATAGTGTCGGTATACATGGTGTCCAGCATAGTGTCGGTATACATGGTGTCCAGCATAGTGTCGGTATACATGGTGTCCAGTATAGTGTCGGTATACATGGTGTCCAGCATAGTGTCGGTATACATGGTGTCCAGTATAGTGTCGGTATACATGGTGTCCAGCATAGTGTCAGTATACATGGTGTCATGGTGTCCAGCATACATGGTGTCCATACATACATGGTGTCCAGCATAGTGTCGGTATACATGGTGTCCAGCATAGTGTCAGTATACATGGTGTCCAGCATAGTGTCAGTATACATGGTGTCCAGCATAGTGTCGGTATACATGGTGTCCAGCATAGTGTCGGTATACATGGTGTCCAGCATAGTGTCGGTATACATGGTGTCCAGCATAGTGTCGGTATACATGGTGTCCAGCATAGTGTCGTATACATGGTGTCCAGCATAGTGTCGGTATAGTGTCGGTATACCAGTATATACATGGTGTCCAGCATAGCGTCAGATATACAGTGTGTGTCCAGCATAGTGTCGGTATACATGGTGTCCAGCATAGTGTCGGTATACATGGTGTCCAGCATAGTGTCGGTATACATGGTGTCCAGCATAGTGTCCAGTATACATGGTGTCCAGCATAGTGTCGGTATACATGGTGTCCAGCATAGTGTCGGTATACATGGTGTCCAGCATAGTGTCAGTATACATGGTGTCCAGCATAGTGTCAGCATAGTGTCAGTATACATGGTGTCCAGCATATAGTGTCAGTATACATGGTGTCCAGCATAGTGTCAGTATACATGGTGTCCAGTATAGTGTCGGTATACATGGTGTCCAGCATAGTCGGTATACAGTATACATGGTGTCCAGCATAGTGTCCAGTATACATGGTGTCCACGGTATACATGGTGTCCAGTATAGTGTCATAGGTGTCCAACTTATACATGTATACATGGTGTCCAGTATAGTGTCATAGTGTCCAGCATACATCCAGCATAGTGTCCAGCATACGTGGTATGGTGTCCAGTATAGTGTCAGTATACATGGTGTCCAGCATAGTGTCGGTATACATGGTGTCCAGTATAGTGTCGGTATACATGGTGTCCAGTATAGTGTCAGTATACATGGTGTCCAGCATAGTGTCAGTATACATGGTGTCCAGTATAGTGTCGGTATACATGGTGTCCAGTATAGTGTCGGTATACATGGTGTCCAGCATAGTGTCAGTATACATGGTGTCCAGCATAGTGTCCAGGTATACATACATGGTGTCCAGTATAGTGTCGGTATACATGGTGTCCAGTATAGTGTCAGTGTCAGTATACATGGTGTCCAGCATAGTGTCGGTATACATGGTGTCCAGTCCAGCATAGGTGTCAGTATAGTGTCATGGTGTCCAGTATAGTGTCGGTATACATGGTGTCCAGCATAGTGTCGGTATACATGGTGTCGGTATACATGGTGTCCAGCATAGTGTCGTGTCTAGTATACATGGTGTCCAGCATAGTGTCGGTATACATGGTGTCCAGCATAGTGTCGGTATACATGGTGTCCAGCATAGTGTCGGTATACATGGTGTCCAGCATAGTGTCGGTATACATGGTGTCCAGCATAGTGTCGGTATACATGGTGTCGAGTCATAGGTGTCCAGCATAGTGTCGGTATACATGGTGTCCAGCATAGTGTCGGTATACATGGTGTCCAGTGTAGTGTCGGTATACATGGTGTCGGTATACATAGTGTCCAGCATACCGTCGGTGTACATGGTGAAGAGCCGGGTTGGAATTGGTCTTTTGTAACCCATGCTTGTCCAAATAGGTGACTAACGGGATCGTGTGGTCAGACTCGCTGACTTGGTTTACACATGTCATCGTACACATAGATCGATATTCATGCTGTTGATCACTGAGTTGTCTGATTATTGACAGACCGCCGTCATATAGCTGGAATATTGCTGAGTGCGGCGTTTATCAAGAAACAAAAATATACAAACACGGTGTCCGGTATCGGTGTCCAGTAAGTGGGTCTCTATCAGAAGTGACGTATGCGTGTTCTGTCGGTGTTAAGATGTAGTTCGATATTCAGGTCACCAGAAGACGCGGAGACAGAGACCTGGAGATAGAGACCTGGAGATAGTCCTGTGATAGTCATGTGATGTATGTAAGATGTATCACTTGACCTGAGGGACGCAGCAGGTAGGTATTATGTTTAATCCACTCTTCCCAGTCATCAAAACCCGTTACCCACACCCAGAGTCGCCTGACTTGTATATGTTAATACATGTATACGCTACAGTCTTGCTGTGTGAACGTTGACCCATCCCTCTCTCTCTGGTGTTAAATGTATGATATTGATACCAACACTGAATGTTATGCGAGTGCATATTTGATCTTGACTAAAGATCGTGAAGCATGGACAGTGGGTCGTGGCAACTTGGAATCCTGGGTCCCATAGAAACTATAAAGATAGTATGCTGAGAAAGTTCCCGTTTTGTACAACATCATATAAACTATAGGGCAAATTACAGTATACACACTTTTGATAGGGCCTAAAATGATACAAGAAATCGGCGTCCGATGATGAAGTGTCTGATGCGGGTAGTTGGTTAATGTATTTTGTCAGTTTCATTGTCCGTCAGTGTGAAGCTTAAGGCACCTTTTCAATCACTGAAGTGATGTTAGAGACGTGTACGAATATGATACTAGAGCTAATACATACACCCATTCCGCCACCCCTCCCATCCTCAATCTAATGTATTGTAGGCTATGATTAGCAGGCATTCTTTTTGCGATGACATTCATCAAAAAAAGGAACATATCTAAATTTAACAGCAAACCATTTTTCAGCAAGAAGTATGTATAGCGCACATGTGTGATGCAAGTGTTCTGGCTCATTTGCATTCTTATGTGTTCGTCGCCCATTTCTGAGTGTCCCGTGCCGTGATGTTGCTGGAATTATTATCTTAGTAAAAGCGGCGTTTTGAAACCAAACTCAGTCAGATCTCGAACTCACACCCTCAGAGTCAGGCACATATTTAAACTTAACAGCAAACCATTTTTCAGCAAGTATGTATAGTGCAAATGTGTGATGCGTGTTAAAAAATTTGTACTCATTTGCATTCTTAATGCCAAATTAACATCGTTACATTTGAACTTCACCTGAGTGGTGTAACGTATAGACAACGCAATCCATCAATTTGCAATAGAGCAGCAAAATGTCGATGTTAGACCGCTCACCATTCTGCGTTGACCAGAACGTTTTATATCACCTTCGCCCATACCATGAATTACAAAGAACCAGCTAACGCAGTGTAATGCCATGTAATGTATTGAACGGTCTGCCATTTATGCTGGAAAGCGATAGTCGCAGTCTTTTGTCCTTGTGAACATCCCAAAGGAATTGACATACATTTTAGGAGGACATCTCGTAAAGCAGAAGTCCACTACCCGCAACTGCCTGTAATGTCCTGCTATACCGTAGGCCCACGTCCAAATATAGCCGGTCTTACACTTTCACACAATCTTAACATGGCGTGGCTCGTACGTCATCCAATACGAATATGTATGGGTAACACACAAGTGATCAAGTGATGTACTCATAATTGATTGAAGCGACCGTTAAATACCAGTTTCTGAATGGGGAAGGCTAACATCTTCTCTATAACAGTGAGAGCGACGTAATAAAGAAGTTGTTCATCTGTATATTGTTATCCTTCCTTACTGCTCCAACTTCTAAATGCCTCTCAAAGAAGTTATCAGTTTCTGGATGGTCCACACGGAATACTTGACTGATCTTCACCTGTGCCATTCAAACTGTGATTGATATCTGAAACTTTGTATGTCTATCTGATTTGTCTTTCCATCAAATATGAGACACTTACAGGTATACCCGTCAACAATCAGTCGAGCGTCCGGACATCATGACCTCCTGGCTATTGGTCCTCGCTGTCCTCGCCCTGGGTGCACGCGCAGCTGTACCAGAGGACGAGATCACAGAGTTGCCCGGATTGAGTCGACTCCCCAGCTGGAAGCAGTACTCTGGCTTTCTGAAGGCCTCGGGAACCAGGAAGCTGCACTACTGGTGAGAACACCCGGTGGAAATATATATTGATGTGAAAACACCTGGTGGTAATAAACGTTACTGTAAGAACACCTGGTGGTAACAAATGTTGCTGTGAGAACACCTGATGGTAACACATGTTGCTGTGAGAACACCTGGTGGTAATAAACGTTGCTGTGAGAACACCTGTGGTAATAAACGTTGCTGTGAGAACACCTGGTGGTAACAAATGTTGCTGTGAGAACACCTGGTGGTAACAAATGTTGCTGTGAGAACACACCTGGTGGTAATAACTGTTGCTGTGAGCACACCCGGTGGTAAAAAATGTTGCTGATAACACCCGGTGGTAACAAATAATGGTGGTTTGAGAACACCTGGTGGTAATAAATGGTGCTGTGGAGAACACCCGGTGGTAATAAATGTGTTGTGAGGCACACCTGGTGGTAGTAAATGTTGCTGTGAGAACACCTGGTGGTAATAAATGGTGTGTGAGCACACCTGGTGGTAATAAATATTGCTGTGAGAACACCTGAGGGTGGTAAATATGGTGCTGTGAGAACACCTGGTGGTAACACATGGTGCTGTGGAGAACACCTGGTGGTAATAATGTTGCTGTGAGAACACCTGGTGGTAATAATGGTGTTGTGAGAACACCTGGTGGTAATAATGTTGCTGTGAGAACACCTGGTGGTAATGATGGTGCTGTGAGAACACCTGGTGGTAATGATGGTGCTGTGAGCACACCTGGTGGTAATAATGGTGCTGTGAGCACACCTGGTGGTAATAATGGTGCTGTGAGCACACCTGGTGGTAATGATGGTGTTGTGAGAGCACCTGGTGGTAATAATGGTGCTGTAATACCTGGTGTTGCTGTGAGAACACCTGGTGGTAATAATGTTGCTGTGAGCACACCTGGTGGTAGTAAATATTGCTGTGAGAGCACCTGGTGGTAATAATGTTGCTGTTGTGAGCACACCGGTGGTAATAATGGTTGCTGTGAGCACACCTGGTGGTAATAATGGTGCTGTGAGCACACCTGGTGGTAATAATGGTGCTGTGAGAACACCTGGTGGTAATAATGGTGCTGTGAGAACACCTGGTGGTAATAATGTTGCTGTGAGAACACCTGGTGGTAATAATGGTGCTGTGAGAACACCTGGTGGTAATAATGTTGCTGTGAGAACACCTGGTGGTAATAATGTTGCTGTGAGCACACCTGGTGGTAATAATGGTGTTGTGAGAACACCTGGTGGTAATAATGGTGTTGTGAGAACACCTGGTGGTAATAATGGTGCTGTGAGAACACCTGGTGGTAATAATGTTGCTGTGAGAACACCCGGTGGTAATAATGTTGCTGGTGAGTAAATATTGCTATGCACCTGGTGGTAATAATGTTGTGAGCACACACGTGAGTAAAATATTGCTGTGACACCTGGTGGTAATAATGGTGCTGCTGTGAGAACACCCTGGTGGTAATAATGGTGCTGTGAGAACACCTGGTGGTAATAATGTTGTTGTGAGCACCTGGTGGTAGTAAATGTTGCTATGAGAGCACCTGGTGGTAATAATGTTGTTGTGAGAATACCTGGTGGTAAATAATGGTGTTCGGAACATCCTGGTGGTAATAATGTTGCTGTGAGAATACCTGGTGGTAACAAAAACACACAACAAATGTTGTTGGCAACACCGAAAAGCCCTGTTGAAAATACCAAGTAGCAAGTAGGGCTCTCACAGGTCAAAATTTGGGACTCGAGTACTCGAAGGTACTGTCAGACCGACTGGACCCGAGTACCCGACAATTTGATGCTTATCTGAAACCAACGTTCAAGGTATACACGTAGCTGTTGTTGGAATACCAAATGTATATGAGTCTCAAAACGCGTTCTGAATAAAGCAATTGATGTTCAATGTCAATAGAAGTATCTATTACCTTTCTATTATTGCAAACAGAATGTGAAGGCAACGTAAGTGTCACTGTGACCCAGTTCTACGCGATCAATTATGTGATTAATATTCATGAGCTGGGCCGGTGATACTTTACTACGCCTGTAAATGTTGTAATATGATTGGATGTGTCCGGGAAAAGAAACCAATCAATGTACTACTCTTTTCTTTTGGTTTTAAGTTTGACTGCGCTTTCAAGATTATCTAATATTAATATGTCGTTGCAGTTATGACATATCAGCAACTTTTAAACATTCACCTAGACGATAAGTCACATAATCAATTAACCTTAATCACGGTTAAAATGCGGCAAAACACGTTCCAAAGCTGGAAGATACATAGAAGATACAAAGCATTCATTGATTGGTGCTGCATTAGATACTAGTATCTTGTAAAGATGGATCGACTATGGAACTTAAAGAATATGTAAAACAGGATTGATGTTTATTTGAGATTTCTTATAGTGAAAGAGTTTTGGTTTCAAACTAAAGACTAACCATTTATTGAGTAACACTACATTGTATTTCTTTTTCCGAAACTCTGCTGAACGGAGATCACGTGAATGGTATTCATTGTGATTAAACTTTCACCTAGTAAGCATATAGGTCTCCAAGTGTGAATGTTATTTTGAATGCGTATGTATGTGTTGATTGTTGCTGAATATGCACCTGCTGGAAATACACTGGATAAGAACGACTGAATATCTATGTAGAAAACAAGTTGTTCAAACATAGGTATAGTGGGCAGTGACAGTGACACAGCGGTGAGTAATACGCTTGTCCACGCGTCCGTAGTTAGGGCAACGGCAGGTACTGTTTTGGTACTGATATTTTGTTCTCCCTTGCAAACTTCATACGTAATTATGAGGTAGTTGTGAATTGTCGCAGGTACATGGGACCTGGGTAATTTGGGTTCAATGGTTCACAGAAAGCCCTGAAACCTCCCTTTAAGAAGACTTAATGGTCGCATATCCTTAACGCGCATAAGCATTGCTTTTTGCGTAATACCTTCATGCCATTTCCGCACTGTCAACAGGCTTGCGACTTTTGCTGTCAAACTTACCAAACTGCCCCAGCGTTGCTTGTTGAGCTGGTTTACAGTGCTTATTGTGGGTGCTTACAGGACAAATGCTTGCGCAACTAAGGGAAACGCCACAAAGACGGCATTTCGTATTTTGGCCACTAAATCAAGATAAAAATGCGTCCAGACATTGGATTTTTTCTCACGATCATCCATCTTGATTGCATGAGATGTTTAGAGGTATCTCCCCTGCGAGTCCTCGAGTCCAATCAATTGGACTCGAGTCCTGCTTTACCCGACTCGGCCCCGAGTACCCGAGTACTCGTGAGAGCCCTAGAAGCAAGGAAAAAACTGTTGTTTGGAACGCCTCCTAGTATTCAGTGATTTCAGAGTGTATCTGCCTAATGTGACCCAAAATATAACAAATTGTAACGTGGTACGGCTACATCACTTTTGATAACTACCTTCCTCGTTTTCCAACCATTAGAAATGAAACCCTTAATCAATTAATGTCCTCTAGGTTTGTTGAGTCTCAGAGTTCCACACCGAAGACGGACCCTGTTGTTCTGTGGCTGAATGGAGGACCCGGATGTAGCTCCCTACTGGGACTCCTCACAGAGAATGGGCCGTTCAGGGTGAGTCTCTAGTGTGAGTTGGTAGATACCGGGACATTGCTCTTATAATTTCAGTAATGCTTAGAGGGCGCCGCCATAAACTTTACGGGCGTTGAACAGCAAAAGCAAGAAAGTAAGGGACCGTTCATAATTTATGGCTGGGTTAGGGGTGGGGTGATTGGGGGTGATGATGATGATGATGATGATTTTAAGGGGGGTCACCCATTTTGTTCTAGGGAGGTAGGTGGGGTCATCAATTTTGTACATAAAAATATTTAAAATTTATGCTTTAAAAATATGGAAAGGGGGAGGGTGTGTGTCATTGACTTGTACATGACATGCAGGGGTCACTTACTTAAATTCGTGCATACATTTTAGAGGGGGGGTAATTCACATTGTACATGCTTCTCCATAAAATCATCATCACCACAAAGTGATCAAATGACGTAATTTCTAAGTCAAATGCATCAAACAAACTTATACAAAGGAGTCTTCGTAATTTTTCTGGTTTCACACTCATTGCAACTATCACTTCATGTCAAACAATTTATGCTGAATGTGTTCGATCCTCTCTTTGTTACCTGACAGATAGCCTCAGACGGGGTGACGGTGCAGTACAACCCTCATAGCTGGAGTAAGGTGAGTACACTGTATGGGGCAGGCATGAGTGATGAGTGCGTGCGTGCGTGTGTGTGTGTGTGTGTGTTGGGCATGAGTGTGAGTGCGTGCGTGCCTTTCTGCGTCAGCTTATTGTGAGAAAGGACCGGAAGTGAGGCAGTTCCCAAATCTGTACAACTTGTGAAACCCCTGGTTTAATCAATCAATCAATCAACTTTATTTACAGCATGACTAGCATTGTCAAATTCAACGTACATGTATTTCTGTTTTGTGCATGGCCTGTATATACTGAGTCAAAAGAAAACTTCACAAAATGTAATTTGAAAAATAATGAATAATTTTTCTCTGATGATACATCTATGTATCCGAAATGGGATCTATCTTTCGACTCTAGAAAAACGTTAGCAAAACCCACTCAAACCCATCCATTCGTCGTGCAAATGACGTTGAGTGCCAAATCAGGTTTTGCACGTGCAGTCGATCACGTGATCTTCGCATCGAAGTTTTCTTCATATGCACGTGTTTGCATTGGCCTCAAGAATTGAAAAACACTTTTAAACCACAGTTCTAACGGTACTTGAAATGCCACGATTGTCAAATGTGCAACGTGAACGTGCCGTTGGCATGTTGCAAGCAGGAAGATCAGTTATTGACGTCGCAAGAGCAATGGGATGCAGCCGTCGTACTGTGTATGACTTGCGAGGTCGTCTACAACAAACTGGCACCACTTCTGATCGCCCAAGGTCGGGTCGTCCACGTGTGACGTCACGAGCAGAAGACCGTCAAATCGTCCTACGTCACCTACGTGACAGATTTCTGCCGGCTACACGAACCAGGGCTGAGATGTTTAGAGGTCGACTGTCCTCACAGACCATTCGAAATCGGTTGCGGGCTGCCAATCTCCATTCTCGACGTCCATATCGTGGGCCAATATTGACGCCGTTTCATCAACGTCAACGTCTGCTGTGGGCCCAACGTCACCTCCGATGGACCCAGAGACTGGAATCGAGTCGTCTTTAGCGATGAATCCAGGTTTACCCTCAGATTCGCGGACGGCAGGCATAGAGTCTGGAGACGACGTCGTGAACGGTATGCCCAATGTTGTGTACAGGAAGTCGACAGATTCGGGGGCGGAAGTTGCATGGTGTGGGGTGCTTTCTGTGGGAACAACCGTTCCCGACTTCTGGTCATCCGTGGAAACCTCACAGCTGCTGCTTACCGCGACCAGGTGCTCACCCCTGAACTCGTTCCTTTCATGGCGGCTCATGGCCCAGGTCTACAGTTCCAGCATGATAATGCTCGGCCGCATACCGCGATGTTGACACGAAATTTCCTTCAAAACGCTGGAATCAACGTCATGGACTGGCCATCGAGGTCCCCTGACCTTAATCAATAGAGCACGTTTGGGATGCACTTGGGAGAAGGCTTCGTGGTCTTAGGAACCAACCTCAGAATTTGCAGGAACTTGGCGCTGCCTTGCAAAAGCAATGGCGCAGAATCCCCAACCACGTGTTCACAAGCATCAGGCAGTCGATGAGGAGACGGTGTTTGGCAGTGGTGAATGCGCGGGGCGGCCATACACGATATTGAACTGAGAAATTTCGCATTTTATTCTTGTGACTTGACATTCTGTATACCCATGTTTTGGAACGGCGGTGTAGCCTAATGGAACTGATTATGGCACTGTCGGTGTATCGAGTACATCACACACAGATCTCAGCAATGAAATAATAACAATTTAACCATCTTACCATCTCTTGTTCTTTTATAGTGCCCTGAAGAAAGAATGTGAAGTTTCTTTTTGACTCAGTACATGTTGTTTCTCGAGGCCCCTGCAGGTGTTGGGTTCTCCTACAGTGACGACAGAAACTACACCACGAATGACGATGAGGTGACCGTCTTGGAAACACTACATCCATACTGCACGTCTGAAATATACTGCATCTCTCGTTGATCATTTGCATACACATTTATCATAAAGAAAAGCTCAGCTGAATTTTCCTATTTAGAGGTTGACATGCGCTACCACTTAGGTACCACTGCTATTTTTACCCTTGAAATATATCGGCTGTTTTTAAATTTCTTGTTGCCTGTTATGTCAGATATATTGACTGTAGATTTGTCATACTGCTTCAACTGTGTCGGTAACATTTAATATATACTTTTTTAGGTAGCCCAAAACAACTTCCTAGCGTTAAAGGATTTCTTCATGAAGTACCCCGAATACAAGACCAACGATTTCTACATCACCGGGGAGAGCTACGGAGGCATCTACGTACCGACACTCAGCGCACTCGTCGTCGACGACCGCGACATCAACTTTAAGGTAAGTCTGTAGTTCGAGGATTCGTAAAGATTAACAAGTTAAACAGTCACATCGTTAAGATAATATAAAACAATCACATTAGTACGAATTACAATAACGGCATTGCTGAAATATATAGTCCACATATATAGTGGTGTAGTTGATAGAGTGTCTGCCGGACAGCGGGAGATCAGAGTTTGGATTCCCTCGTACCAAAAAACTTTAGAAGATATAACCTGTTGTTTTCCTGCCTAGCACTCTCCATGTAATGAAGTAAGCCATATGCTTGAATGTAGCTAAGTAATTTAAACCACGACTTCCGGTTTCCGGGTAGGATTGACCCCCGCAAACTATGTTGGTAATAAGAGGGGACGAAATTGCTCGGGCATGGTGACTTGCTTGATTGTATACCCAAAGGGAATTGACCGTTGCGCACAATAACCATCACTGGATGTTCTGGTCAAGATTCGATTATCTAAGAACTGGCAACAGGAAGAAGGAACATGGAGTTTGGCGTTAAACAACAAACAAATACAGCTACAGCTCCTGTAACCGGAACAGTCATTATTGCTAGTAACTATGGTAACGCTTACATTGCTTCTCACTAGTGGTGTCCCGATTAATTGAAATAATCGAAGATTGGTCGCAGTGATCAAACGACCAAGCAATCGATCACAATTTCTCATAATCGAACATAAACGATTTTGGAACTACTGTTTAAGTCTTTGAAAAACTTGACAATGGAACATATCTTAGAAGTTGTCAGGGCCTGAAAACGTGTTTAATTCTTAGAAAACTCACTTCACTAATTGAAAAGCCATGACTGAATGTTTCTCTGAGACTCAAGGAAGTTTATGTTCATGATATATTAGTCATCACTTTATAGTAGCAAGTTGCAATCATGTTATACATATCTGCAATAACAACCTGGATAGGAAAATCTGAAAAATTACGCTAACCAATTTTTTTCGATGATTGTTCGTTGGTTAAGAAGCAATCATCAATTGTGAGATTTCAACCAATTCCCAACACTACTTCTCACTCACTATTATGATAGCAACAACCGCTGTTCCTTGCCATATCTGTCAGAATGCCGCAGCTACAACAATGTCGTTAATGCTGCTTCCGATAATCCTTTCAGGGGTTTGCAGTTGGCAATGGCGTCACTGACGGCAGCATGCTTGACAACTCTATCATCTACTTCGCCTACTACCATGGCATCACCGGTGATATGTACGTATTCAGCATTTGTATTAAACCTGGAAGACGCGTGTCAACTGCCAGACACCAGGGTCCCGTTCCACAAAAACGATCGCAGCGCAACGTATGTCGGAAGTCTATGTTAAAGTATACGAGTTACAAGGGCTAACGGTAGCTTTGTGAAACGGGGACTAGACTTAGTGACCTCTCCCTTATGGCATCTCGTTTGTTATGTTACATGTCTAGTGACATACCAGTCAACATGACGTTCCACAGCAAATGTTCATCTTCCAGCTTGTTTGGTAATGTGAAAATGTTTTGTAACACTGATTTAACGCGATATGCGCATGACATAGTGATGACAGCAGGTGTTCGCAAAAAATGGATAAGCTTATCCTGACCTACCAACGGCGCCCATCATAAACACATGCAAAGAAAAGTCGCGTTCACCTTGAAAACATCGCACCTTTCTCAGGTGAAAACAGGGAATTGCATTGGACATCATTTTGTGTTTTGTCGCCTGAATCTAAATAGGTCCGAATAGGAACCAGATGCGGCGATCTCACTTGCCTCCTTTCTATCTAGCTGAGGTGAATAAATCAGTGGACTGGAATCGGATATTTGACTGTAAGCGAAGGATATCAGATAATATAAACCTAAAGCTTAAGTTATATCTGTCAAAGTTCACCCTTTTTTCTCCTTGCCGTTCTGATCAGAAAGTCAGCGTCTTATTCGTAAAGATGTAAGTCAGCAAATAGGGTATCTGAGGGATGTGTACCTCTTTCCCGAATGTTTTACCCCAGTATGTTCAATGATATTAACAATTAGGAAGACCAGCATGCCGCATTCTGTCTCTTCAGATGGCATTTGCTTTCAGTTTTGATCAATGGTTCTCAACCTCTGAATATTAGATATGTAACTATTAGTTAGAAATGACATTCAGAGCAAGAAATGAAGGTGTCCTTTACGTTTGCCAATGTTGAAAATCCACATGCTTTGACATTATAGAATTATTGAGACTGCAAAACAAATCCTGGCATTTCTTAAGCATCTATATGGTATTGCTCTTTCTCTAATACTATTTGTGAATATAGAGAAAGTCCTATGTTGATTGTATTTAAGGATTATGGTATATCATTGAGACATCATTTACTGGACCGGTCAGTGTGTTCCTGTTTGTAGGATTTTTTTTTTCTTTCATGTTTTTATTCCCAGAATTATGTTTACAGACTTTACCTCAGTAGTACAGTACAGGTAGCTTCTTAGTATGCAAGTACAGTGTTTCTTTGATCTCATTGTCAAATAACATGCTGTTCACAAATATGTAAGTTTCATTGTACACAAGTACAGTGTTTCCTTTGTCACTCACTCTAACATCATGCTGTTCACAAATATGCAAAAAGGTCAAACTAAGCATGTACGTGAAGTATTACATGTTTACAGACTTTATCTCAGTAGTACAGTACAGTACAGTACAGGTAGCCTCATAGTACATAAATATGTAAAATGGTCAAACTAAGCATGTATATGAAGTGTTATATGTTTACAGATTTTACCTCAGTAGTACAGTACAGTACATGTAGCCTCCTAGTTTGTAGGAATTTTAATGAAGGCGGAATCTTGTACAAACGAGGAACTGACAAAACTTTATGTTTTAAAATCAAGTCAAAAGTGGATTGTACTGATGAATCTTTTCAACAGATTCGCCCTCAGTTAACCGTCGCCGATAATTTAGCCTTGTTAAATTATTATTCTTTGACGAAACAATATGTGAAGTGTTGTTTCCTCATAATGTCATTATTATTTGAGGCCATATATAAAGCATATACATTTCCTGTGACGGTGTAATTGCAGTTTTTTAGTTCTTGGGAGATTTAGATCTCGGTACACCCTCATTAACACAGGTCGTTTCTTGTTCTCTAGCACGTGGAACAACCTGATGACCTACTGCTGTCAGGGCCAGGAAGGTCGGTGCGACTTCAACGCCAAAAGCTCCAATGACACCAACTGCAAGAAAGCGGTAAATGTCATATGTTACTTTTAAACACTACCGGGAAGATCCGGGTAAGAATTGGTCTACAGCAACCCACGCATGTCGTAAGAGGCAACAAACGGACTCGCTGAATTGGTTGACACATGTCACCGTATCCCAACTGCGTAGATCGATGCTCATGAGGATGATCACTGGATTGTCTGGCCCAGCCTCGAATTTTTACAGACCGCATAGTATTTATGTTTGCTGAGTGTGGCGCATTTTATGCTCTCAGATGCAAATTAATATAGTTTCTGTTGTACATAGTTTTGACAAATAGTATATCACAACACTTATTGCTTTCAGCAGGATTGTCAAAAACTTCATCACACATCATAGCTTGTGACATTAAAAACAATTGATGATCGGTGTAAAGGGGAGGTAATTCTGTACGTTGAAGACACAGACACATATTGCTTATCTCCTCAGCTGTTCGAGTCGTACGAAGCACTGTACAGCAGCGGTCTGAACGTCTACAACCTGTACGGAGAGTGCGTGAACACGGCGACAGGACTGACATACGACGCCAGCACAGATACCTACATCTCCTCCAACTTCGGCTGGTTCCTGCCAAACTCACCCCGAGTCCAAGAAGAAATCAGAGTAGGTCTGAGAAAATAGATATTGAGTTTCAAAAACACAATCAAGACGTTGGTTAAAACGGAGTTCATTCAAACACAAGCGGCGTCTTTGAATGAATCTAATAACCAAAGGAAAAACAGAATATGTGAAACAAGTACAATACGATCTAGGACGGTAATCGCCTTAAAGATGAATTGCTAGTTACAGTTGCCAGGAGTTGCGTTCCATGACTTGGTGTGAGGTTGCTAAGCCTGTTCGCCCGCTACACTTAATTATGCAAACACACAGTACTACTCCTGAATTACTCTTCACAACATGAAAATATTGTTCTCTGATTTGTACAAAATTAAAGGATGCACCAGAGAGGATAAAATTCTCAGATGAGTCGAAATGGCAGCCGTGGCAACCGGGAATATATCTAACAGTAAAGTGAACAAGACACAGCTCTACCAATCTGTTATTAGTCTACCTCGAGAGACCTGCTGATAAACTTGTTATTTGGTAGGAAATAAGAGAATATCCAATGGGATTTGAGGATTTTGTGTCACGCGTGGGTGAGTGAGTGTGTTAAGTTTAACGCCTCTTTGAACAGCCTTCCAGTTATATTTTGACGTGTCAGCTGCATGCTGGAGTGAGTGAGTGAGTTTGGCTTTACGCCGCTTTTTGCAATATTCCATCAATATCACGGCGTGGAACTCTTGAAATGGGCTTCACTTATTGTACCCATGTGGGAATTGAACCCGGGTCTTTGGCGTGACGAGCGACGCTTGAACTACTAGGCTACCCAACCGCCCGCTTCATGCTGGTGGAAAGCCCGAAAAGATGCGTGTCCTAGACGTTTACCACTTTGATGAAGCCCACGATTACATTGTTTTGTCGTGACAAAACTAGAAACATAATCGGAGTGAGCAGGGATTCGAACCAGCAATAACAGATTTCTGAGAGCCCGAAGCTCCTCACAGCGAATTTCGACAACTCTGACCATCCATCCCTGAAGGAACGCTGTAGATAGCTGCATGTGATGGCTAAACGGATTAAACTCGATTTATTGTACAAATATGGGGATACTTTGAAATTATGACGTCATGAACACTAGGTATTGTTAAACTGATGCCATATCAACTTACCAATCAGCATCGAGAATATCAATATCGTGCCTCTATCGGAAAATTATCAAACAGATCTTTCTACGTTTGTCTCTAATACTTCTCATTACAATGTTTTATGGTCTGAAGGTTATCAAGACTCTCCCAGCTGAGAAGCTCCGGGTAACACCGCCCTGTCTCAATGAAACAAACATCCTTGTATACCTGAATCAGCCGGAGGTGCGCCGAGCTCTCCATATACCAGACTCTGTCCAACGTTGGGATTCCTGCAGGTAGGTTTTGGAACATCTTATGACCACGGCTGTGTCGGGTGATATTGTGCAACCATGGCGGGGATTCTAGGGTGCTTCCGGTTAAATAGATTTCACATTCTGATTGTGACAATATTCGCTTGGTAGTTCATGAAGTTCTGACCCCCCATCAAAATCCGGCTAAGAATTGGTCTTAATGAGTCCATGCTTTCCATAGAGGCTGATAACGGGATAGGGTGATCGGATTGAACACTTGGTTGATAATGTCATCGTATCCGCTTCAATTTCTGTATGACTGGAGTAAGTGAGTGTTTTACGCCGCTTTAGAACTATTCCAGCAATATATGGGACTTCATACATTGGCTTCACACATTGTACCCATGTTGGGGAATCGAACCCGGGTCTTCGGCGTAACCACTAGGCTACCCCACCGTCCCTGTATAGCTGGCACATTGGTCAGTGCGGCGTTAAAAAACAAACAAACAAATCACATTTATACCCTTTCTGATTGCAATTAACTTTCACTCCTGTTTACATACGCCGATCATGCTAGTTCAATCTATCGATATTGCAACAGAAAGATTGTGTTACACTTACTGATGTTGACTGATTTCACAGAAAAGCAACCTGTAATTTCTGAAAGCACTGAAGGGTTATGAGTTAGTGATGATCTCATCCTTGTTTCAGTGGACCAGTGTCACAGGGATACGTCAGCACCTACAATACGATGAAGGAGAAGTACCTCAAGGTCCTTGACGCAAAGGTTAGCATACATCATACCACATTCTAAGGTTTAGGGGCAGACTCTCCAACGGATTGTGTTGCTGTTTCCAGCAGATTCTTAAGTCGACAGTATTATTGTTAAGAGACAGTATCTATTACTAGTATCTCTCCTGGTGAGAAATTACTTAGTTCCTTTAACTATCGTATTAAAAAATCGTTTCTAATGAGATGAAACTTGAAAGGCTTGGATCGACTAGATTCACCAGTTCTTAATTGGTGACAGATGTTCCATTTCCTATTAACTATTTAATCATAAAATGAATGAACTGTATCGATTTCTTGGTATGTGATAATACGAGGTTGATGTTGCAGAAACGGGTGTTGGTGTACAACGGCGATGTGGACATGGCTTGTAACTTCCTGGGAGACGAATGGTTTGTCGACTCCCTGAAACAGAAGGTAGACTTTTTGTCATAGAATATTTGTATGAATCACTGAGGCAATAAGAGAAATGTGGAGACCAGACTAATGATATTTGTCCGTATAGAATTCTGAATTGTTACATATTTTCCTTCCTTCTAGTTGTATGCGTGCGCGTGTGTGTGTGCGCGCGTTTGTGCTATATTCTAACCGGGAGGTGCGGTTGGGTAGCCTAGGGGTTAAAGCTTTTGCTCGTCACGCCGAAGACCCGGGTTCGATTCCCCACATGGGTACAATGTGTGAAGCCCCTTTCTGGTGGCCCCCGCCGTGATATTGCTGGAATATTGCTAAAAGCGGCGTAAAACTTCACCCACTCACTCAATCTAGGCAGGTATCGATTCGGTGGCTCAGTCAGTTGACCATGCATGTCATCGATGCCTACATCTCCTGTTCACAGAGCGTCCTGGCCCGCAAGCCTTGGTACTACACTGCCGCCGACAAGACGAAACAAGTCGGGGGATTCGCCAGAGGGTTCGAGAATCTCGTGTACGTCACAGTCAGGGTACGTGACGTCATCTTGTCATCAATACAAGGTCTTCAACAATCTTTAGTTTTCATTGATCCACCTATGTCGGCATCTGTAGGTATCATAGATCCACGTCTTAAGGAATTATGGATCCACGTCTCTAGGTGTCATAGGTCCACATCGTTAGTTATCATAGATCCAGGTCCCTAAGAATCATAGACCCATGCCTGAAGTTATCCCAGATTCACTTCCCTTTGTATCCAAGGTCGGCATCAGCGGTTATCTTAGATCCACGTATCAAGGAATAATGGATCCACATATCCGTGTATCACAGGTCCACATCTATAGGTATTAAAGATTCACGTCTGTGGGTACTTATAACACTACATCCCTAGTTATTATCGATCAACGTTACTCGGTATCATAGATCCAGGTCCTTAAGTATCATGGATCCAGGTCCTTAAGTATCATGGATCCAGGTCCTTAAGTATCATGGATCCAGGTCCTTAAGTATCATGGATCCAGGTCCTTAAGTATCATGGATCCAGGTCCTTAGGTGTCATGGATCCCGGTCATTAGGTGTCATGGGTCCAGATATTTAGGTGTCAGAGATCCAGGTCGCTAGGAACCATAAAATGTCGTCTCTCGTTATCATAGATCTGCGCCCCGTGGTGTCTTATATCCACGACTACATATCAGCGATCTCGGCGTGGTTTGGTAGACTGTCAGTCTTACCTGAAGTTATGACGATGCATACAATAAAAACGATCCCTAAAAGTATCATAGGTGCAATAAACCAGCCCCACGTGTTCTCTGGGTCAGTATCATAAATTACATTAATCTTTCCTCGCCGACATGGATAAACAAGAATTTCGAGTAGAAGCACCGACCGATAAAACTGCAACAGGACATATTTTTATTCAATCTTTGACTTTCTATTTCCAGGGTTCCGGCCATATGGTTCCGTCAGATAAACCTGAGCCAGCGCTTGTAATGTTCACCAACTTCATTAAAAACACTCCTTTCTAGAAGAATAAACATTCGGAATTTATCAATTGTACATTGACTTAATACTCACAGATCAATAATTCTTTGTATGCGTTCTTCAGTGTCTTAGCGAGATATGATTCATATGCAGTGACACAGAGGAAACGTATTGCACACCGCTTCAGTATTTAAATAGCAATTTGTAGATTTTAAAGCTAAGTATTGTAGTTTGTTCACATTTTCAAGTTAAGATTGCTGTGTAAATAAACTATTGCTTTACATTTGCGTTTCCATACCTTCTATACTCAGTGATGTTGACAAACACATGGTATTGACAAACAAACAAACACGTGGTATTGACAAACCAACAAACGCGTGGTATTGACAAACCAACAAACACGTGGTATTGACAAACCCACAAACACGTGGTATTGACAAACCAACAAACACGTGGTATTAACAAACCCATAAACACGTATTGACAAACCAACAAACACGTGGTATTGACAAACCAACAAACACGTGGTATTGACAAACCAACAAACACGTCAACAAACACGTGGTATTGACAAACCCAAAACAACCAAGTGGTACTTGACAAATCAACAAACACGTGGTATTAAAAACCAATAAAAACACGTAGTATTGACAAACCAACAAACACGTGGCATTGACAAACCAACAAACACGTGGTATTGACAAATCAACAAACACGTGGTATTGACAAACCAACAACCAAGTGGTACTTGACAAATCAACAAACACGTGGTATTAAAAACCAATAAACCCATAAACACGTGGTATTGACAAAAACACGTGGTATTAACAACAAATTGACAAACCAACAAATACGTGGTATTGACAAACCAACAAACACATGGCATTGACAAACCAACAAACACGTGGTACTGACACACCAACAAACACGTGGTACTGACAAACCAACAAACACGAGGCATTGACAAACCAGCAAACACGTGGTACTGAAAAATTAACAAAAACGTGGTATTGACAAACCCACAAACACGTGGTATTGACAAACCAACAAACACGTGGTATTGACAAACCAACAAACACGTGGTATTGACAAACCAACAAACACGTGGTATTGACAAACCAACAAACACGTGGCATTGACAAACCAACAAACACGTGGTATTGACAAACCAACAAACACGTGGTATCAACAAACCAATAAACACGTAGTATTGACAAACCAACAAACATGGTATTGACAAACCAACAAACACGTGGTACTGACAAATCAACAAACACGTGGTATTAACAAACCAATAAACACGTGGTATTGACAAACCAACAAACACGTGGTACTGACAAACCAACAAACACGTGGTATTGACAAACCCACAAACACATGGTATTGACAAACCAACAAACATGGTATTGACAAACCAACAAACACGTGGTACTGACAAACCAACAAACACGTGGTACTGACAAACCAACAAACACGTGGTACTGTCAAACCAACAAACACGTGGTATTGACTAACCTATAAACAGTCAAGGGGGAGCCGCTATTTGAACCACGATGTCAGGATCCTGACATGTTTCATGATGTAAATTGCGTCACCTAAGACAAAAGTGCCACCTTTTCCCCACAACAGAGTTGAAACTTTATGAAGGCTTCATCTGTTGAGAATACACAATGCTAGTTAGGAAGTGTGACATAATTACACTTTCTCAGAAAAGTTCGGATTCAAACTGAGTCCGATCAGGGAGTCGAACATACGATCTAAGAGTGAAAAGCTTCATCGCCAGCACACAAAGTTAGCGATCTAACCCTCCCAGCCAACAAATTTTCACAAAAATGGAAGTCTAGAACATCTATTTTGTGTGCCACTCTGTAATAGAATCAGCGCGTTATCTATTGTCTTGACAAGCTGATATTTACGGAGACTAGATACTCAGGCTGCCATGCAACCCACAGCTTAGAGAAACAGTTCAGCTACATCCCCGTGGGTAGCCCTATCTCTCACGGCTTCAACCCAGGTATTGGGTGAATATGTATAACCCATATCACATAAATGGGATTAACTTGATATACAGGGCCTGTGCAATGACAGCACGTCGCAAACCAGATTACACAATTCACGCTTACGAGATACCACGGCAAAGACGAAGACACAAGTCTGTAGAGAGATACACAAGTCTGACAGGTAAGGCCTGAACATGTCGATAGGATGTACCTGACTGAATTTTTAAGCTGCCTATGTAAAGCTGGTATTGGTGAGTACAGTAAGACTGTAACACAAGAAATTTACTTCACACTTTGTACTCATTGATTTAGGTTATCGAAGCTGGGTCTTCGGCGTGTCGAGTGAACGCTTTTAAGGACTTGGTTGTCCTAAATAACTACAAATAAAGACATTTTACACGTGATTTCCCCAGTGATTATAATTTAAGAACAAAATTTCACCTGTTCCATTCATAACATGTTTGAACTATATGTATGTCTTTCCAATTTGTCCCTCCGTGAAATATGAAGATGGAATATTTAAAGGTAAATTCGTCAACAATCAAACATGATGATGACCTCCTGGCTACAAATCCTCGCTGTCCTCGCCCTGGGTGCACGTGCAGCTGTACCAGAGGACGAGATCACAGAGTTGCCCGGATTGAGTCGACTCCCCAGCTGGAAGCAGTACTCTGGCTTTCTGAAGGCCTCGGGAACCAGGAAGCTGCACTACTGGTGAGAATACCTGGTGGTAACAATTGTTGCTGTGTGAATACCTGTGGTAACAAGTATTGCTGTGATAAACACCTGGTGGTAACATGTATTGCTGTGAGAACACCTGGTGATAAAACTATTGCTGTGAGAACACCTGGTGGTAAAAATATTGCTGTGAGAACACCTGGTGGTAACCAACATTGCTGTGTGAACACCTGGTGGTAACATTGCTGTAAGAACACATCGTGTTAACAAATATTGCCGTGAGAACACATGGTGGTAACAATATTGCCGTGAGACTGACTGACTGAGTTTGGTTTTACGCCGCTTTTAGCAATATTCCAGCAATATCACGGCGGGGAACATCAGAAATGGGCTTCACTCATTGTACCCAATTTCCGTGAGAACACCTGGTGGTAAGAATATTGCTGTGAGAACACCTGGTGGTAACAAACGTTGCTGGTGGGAACACCTGGTAGCAACAAATATTGCTAGTTCGAAGATATTCTGGCAACAAATATTGCTTGTGGAAACACCTATAATAATAGACATCACTCTCGAGAATAGGCCTTCGTAACAAACATCACTGGCCAGGACACCTTGTGGTAACAAATGCTGCTTTTGAGAACGTGATGATCAAAATCTCCGGTGAGTTCACATTGCATGTGTCAGAACACCACGTGGCAATTAAAATAATACATCGTGGTAACAAACATTAACTCTCAGCACACATCCTTGTGTGAAACAGTGCTGATGAAATCACCTCGTGGTCACCTACATTACTGGTGAACGAATGTTACCGTGAAGGAGAATTCGTGGGAACAAGTACTGCTGCAGGGACGCTCTCTTGGTTACATATATCTCTGGCTATATAATGGCGAATAATGTTGTGAGAATAGTCTGAGGTAACGATTACTGCTATGTGAATACTCCGCTGTGACCCATACTGCTGAAAGTAGACCCAGAGTTGACGAGTAATGATGTGTGAGGTGAGGTGAAATTGGGTTTTACGTCGTGCTTGAGAATATTTCGCTCATATGACGACGTACATGCGTGTGTATGTGTATGTGCGGCTGCTTGTACTAGCCCAGACTTAAGCTGGTTTTATAGTGCTAGCCCACTGAGATACCATGCTGCAGTGAAGCATGAATACCCCACTCAGACACATTATACTGACTCCGAGCCGACCAGTCCTTATTGTACCCATTAATGCCGAGCACCAGACAGCGACCAACAAGTACCACATTTTAACGTCTTTTGGTATGACGCGGTCGGGGATCGAACCCGCGACCTTCCACTCTCCGGGCGGACGCTCTAACCACTACACCACGGAGGCGGTCAGTAATGATGTGTGTGAGAATACCACTACAATGACACATCTAAGACTATTGTGGTATAGATAAGGACAAATATTATGGATGAACAACTTCTTTATTCGGGTGATGCGACGTTTCGATTCTGATTCTTGTATCGTTGTCAATCAAGTATACTTATGGATGAAAAATGAAGTTGTTCATCCAAAAAGTTTGTCCTTATCTGATTCACCCATTTCTAAATACGCCACTCAGAGAAATATTGTGGTATATTCACATGTTAACGTAGGAACCGCGTTAAGTAAACAAATGCTGCTTCGCTGAGTGTACAAAGGACAGAATGACTATAGATGAGACTTGTGACAATATATAGTGTTCAATTATTGATGACAGATAACCTGTAACTACACCCCGTAGCCTCACCTGTATACTTCTTCCGAGAATAACACGCAACAAATACTTATAGAGGGTAACCGTGCTATAATACCATGCTAACTTAACCTGCATACGTTCAGACAATATAGTCCTTCCTCGCCCACCAAGTAGTAAAAGTAATGACCTTCATCAATTAATGTCCTCTAGGTTTGTTGAGTCTCAGAGCTCCACTCCGAAGACGGACCCAGTTGTTCTGTGGCTGAATGGAGGACCCGGATGTAGCTCCCTGCTAGGACTCCTCACTGAGAATGGGCCGTTTAAGGTGAGACACATGTGTGTGTTGAAGAAATACGGATCGGGTTGCAATAATTGGTGACTTAGTTAATTGCCGGTATCTCAACCCCAGTGACTAGCTCTTGACGTTGTTCATATTAACCATCACTGGAGTGCCTAGTCTCGACTGGAGATTCTTTACGGTACGCCGTCACAGAGCTGGCGTAAAAAAAACGTATAACCGATAACCCGATCGACTTTAATAGCTTGTAAACGAGTTCTTAAGATGAGATGTGTTTTTGAGGTAGAATGCATTAAACAGACGTACTATCACTTCTATGTTTTACACTAAAAAACACCACTATTTTGGTGAACTAATTAAGCAACATTCACAGAGTGTTTCCTTCTAACATGTCAAACTACAATGTGCTCTTTCTCAATGCACCCATAAAGTAGATCCACAGATGAATATAAATCTTACTGCATTGCTTATTTGCTTTTCTTTGCTACCTCACAGATAGCCACTGACGGGAAGACGGTGGAGTACAATCCATATAGCTGGAACGCGGTAAGCTGGAAGGGATGGGAGAATGTGTGTGTGCGAGGATCCTGGAACGACAAGGGACACAACTCTATTCATTGTTTCCAACAATCTCCCACCGACAGGGAAGGCTAACGGAACCAGCATTGAAGTGTATAACAAATGTGTCGAAAGTTATAGTCATATGTGTTTGTATGGATTTAGACCTTCGTGTTAGCACCAACATAATCAAGTACCATAGGCATGTGCAGCGGACATTTTGACCTCCTAACAGCCATTGATCTTTGTCCATGCAGGCATATTTACATATTCACAAACGTTTAACATGATACATTAAGGTGTTTCTCTGTCACCAGATCGCCAACATGCTGTTTCTCGAGGCCCCTGCAGGTGTTGGGTTCTCCTACAGTGACGACAGAAACTACGCCACAAATGACGATGAGGTGACGGTCTCGGAATTACCGTGACAACCAATAACAGTATCACGTCCTTATGTTTAACATACAAACTGCAAGTCGTGTTTATTAGTAACATAAGGCCAGCACTGCGTGTATTCTATTAACATATGATCATCATTACGTGTTCACCACTAACATACAGATTACATCAGGTGTCTATCACTCTGGGCTGCACCATGGTTTTACCACTGGCATATGAATTTCACCATGTGTCATCAACTCGACCGTACCGCTGGGATGTCTCACGTGTCAGGACATAATGCTGTGTGCTGTTCCTTGACACTGGCCGTATGTCATACTGCTTAGCAACAAACCCCTGTACATCCGGGTTAGAACTGGTCTTCAGTAACCCATGCTTGTCGTAAGAGGCGACTAACGGGATTGGGTGGTCAGGCTCGCTGAGTTGCTTGACAATATGTAATCGTATCCCAATTGCGTAGATCGATGCTCAGGCTGATGATCACTGGATTGTCTGGTTCAGACTCGATTATTTACAGACCGCCGCAATATAGCTGGAATATTGCTGAATGTGGCGTAAAACAACAACAACGCCAAGATTAGCAACAATGGCAAATAATGTCATCTTGCTTATAGTAACCATGAGAAATTGACATGGGCGATACCCATGCCGACCCAATACCGACTTCAAGGCCAAGATGGCAGTTAGCAGAGGATTCCTGCCAGCTTCTACTTAACCTTTTTCCAATAGACTAAACATATACACGCGCTGGACGGTGAACCTTTCGGATAGAGACAGAGCAATGTTTTATCTGGTACATCGACGGTAGACTATTTCACACTGCTTTGGCTGTGCCGGCATTAGTCGTTGTACTTTTATGTGTTGAAGGTAGCCCTCAATAACTACCTAGCGTTGAAGGATTTCTTCATGAAATACCCTGAGTACATAGCCAACGACTTCTATATCACCGGGGAGAGCTACGGAGGCATCTACGTGCCGACACTCAGCGCACTCGTCGTCGACGACCGTGATATCAACTTTAAGGTAAGTTAGTACTGCGAGGATGCATGAAGATAAAACCCCAACCCATGAAGAGTCTTACAGTCACATTGGTAACACACGACTTAAAGTCACAGTGAAAAGCCATATGGCCCACGCCACTGACAGTGCTTCACACTTCTGTGGTTTGGAGGATATAGCGTCTGCCTAGAAGACGGGAGGTCGGAGATCAATTTCCTGCTACCAAAAAACATTTCCTCCTTCCACAAGATGGTATTTGTTGTTTTCCTGGAGCTTTGCATCAAGGACAACTTAAGTGGAAACGCTTACATTGCTTCACAATCACACACTCACTCACTGTTGTGACAATAGTAACGGTTGATCCCTGCCATACCTGTCAGAATGATGCAGCTGCTTCCGATCATCTTTTCAGGGGTTTGCAGTTGGGAATGGCGTCACTGACGCCATCATGAGCGACAGCTCTCTGGTCTACTTCTCCTACTACCACGGCCTCATCGGGGACATGTACGTAGTCACCCCTGTCGATCTGTATGTGTTGTAAACTTGGAAGGTTCGGTAGACCAAAGTTAGTAGCCTCTCCCATGTGGATGTTTTCTTGTTCTGTTGGTATTATGGTTAGATACCAGCCAAGCACAACAAACGTTCTTCTTCAACTTGTTTCAGAATGTTGAAATGTTTTGTAACAATGATTTAACGTGACATGTGCAGGACATAGTGATGATAAAGTGGTGATAAAAGGTGTTGGCAAACCTACCAATAACCTTATCCTGACCTACCAATAACACTGACTTATCCTGACCTGACCAATAACACCTTATCCTGACCTACCAATAACACCTTATCCTGACCTACCAATAACACCTTATCCTGACCTACCAATAACACCTTATCCTGACCTACCAATAACACCTTATCCTGACCTACCAATAACACCTTATCCTGACCTACCAATAACACCTTATCCTGACCTACCAATAACACCTTATCCTGACCTACCAATAACACCTTATCCTGACCTACCAATAACACCTTATCCTGACCTACCAATAACACCTTATCCTGACCTACCAATAACACCTTATCCTGACCTACCAATAACACCTTATCCTGGCCTACCAATAACACCTTATCCTGACCTACCAATAACACCCGTTATCACAAACACACCAATGCAAACACGCGTCACAAACACATGCCAAGGCAAGTCACCTGGACAAATTCGCATTTCAAGTTAAACTTGCATTGGACATCATTTTGTCACTGATGCGTCAAATCTGGAAATGTCTTGCACGTGTCTACCATAACCGTTTGAAAGCTGGCGCTTAGAAAGAGTAGGCCTATAGTACCTCACAAGTTGTAAAATGTAGAAACCAAATGCTGGAGCTGTGTGTCATACAGCCATGGGGAGAGTGTTTTTAGGGAGTTGCATTGGAAATAGTTGGACATGTAAAGTGTGTGAGCAGCTGCCAGATACCCTCTACACAAAATGTTTGGGACGTGAACATCATAACCAAAGGTAACTGTATATGACAGCTTGCAATGTTTGACAAAGGCGAAACGTAACAATTATTTGATGCAAAGTGTACACGACCACAGATCATAGATCGTTTGCCAACACCGGTTCAGTGCCTTGACTAGGTAGATGTGAATCTCCACTATCACTGATCGTTTCCTTGTCTGCAGCACGTGGAGCCTCCTGATGACTCATTGCTGCAAGGGTCAGGAGAGTCGCTGCAACTTCTTTGACCAAATCTCCAATGACACCAACTGCAAGAGAGCGGTACCTTTTACAAATTCCATTTTTCACCCAAAGCTTCAACAGGACGTATAATCTTTTTGTTATGGAGTTTATTAATGAAAACCTAGAATATATTGACATGGTATATTGATACAATGATACAATGACGTAACAATTTGTGATTAATGTCAGGGGAATAAAGCAGGACATGATACACTGGCATCTCGTGGATTCTGACTGTCACGATGAGGTAAGTCTGCATGTTGAAGTTACAGTACAAATGACGCTTATCTCCTCAGCTGTTCGAAACCTACCAAGCAGTTCTCGGCAGCGGCCTCAACATCTACAACCTGTACGGAGAGTGCGTGAACACGGCGCCAGGACTGACATACGACGTCAACACAGACACCTACATCTCCTCCAACTTCGGATGGTTTCTGCCACACTCACCCCAAGTGCAAGACGAAATCAGAGTAGGTCTGGCAAAATATTATTCAAAAATGAACAATTGCTTTTCAAGAATACGTACAGTGTAGATGGTGATATAAAACAAAACAGATTCAACTGCTGACAACAAGTAATCTAGGGCTGAGAAACTCGCTTCAAAGATGATTTGCTTCTTTTAGCTGCAAGGACTTGGTAAACGTCGAATCTGAGACACAGCGAAATACGGATGGTTGGTTTGTTGTTTAACGCCGCACTCAGCAATATTCCAGCTATATTGTGGCGGTCTGTAAATAATCGAGTCTGGACCAGACAACCCTGTGATGCTCAACAGCACGAGCATCGATATACACAATAATTGGGATACGATGACATGTGTCAACCAGGTCAGCGAGCCTGACCACAGATCCCGTAAGTCGCCTTTTACAAGCATGGGTTGCTGATGACCAATTCTAACCCGGGTTTTTCACGGGTCACCAGATAAGTAAAAGTGTCTACGCCATAACATTTAAACAAACGATTTAGTGAAAATTACTATCTAAAACGAGTCCCAATTGGGGGTAATCTAAGAGAAAAGGAAACGGTGAACAAGGCATGGGTTTGACACACTGGTATGGACGTTTGTTACATCTCTGAAAGGTCCCTAATGAGTTTGTCTTGCGGAAATTAGTTCCTCGAGAGGTAAAGCGGTGATAGAGAATAACTCGAGTTCCTCGAGGATTACATGTCTTCCGAGGTACTTTCTTGAATGTGAACTATTGTACATATGACGCAATACTTTGCACTGGATGTGTTACGCCATAAATGCCGCATGACGTCACGTCGTATCGTCATCAATGGGACTATGCTACGTCACATCAACTCTCCAATCAGCACTGAGAATCTCCAAGAAGCACTGAAAATACAGTGTCTCTAAATCTGTCGATTCTTTAAGATAATATCTGTCATTTGATTGTTTTCTGTATCAAGATGATACAGAATCTCCCATCTGAGAAGCTCCGGATGACGCCACCCTGTCTTAATGACACGAACATCCTTGTATACCTGAATCAGCCGCAGGTGCGCCGAGCTCTGCATATACCGGACTCTGTCCAACGCTGGGACACTTGCAGGTAGGTTTCAGAATGGCTGGCTCTGACACATATACATGATGATAATGATTATTTGATTAGCGCTTCGGTTAGACCTAATTCGCATTCTGATGGTGACAATAATTCCGCCATGTCAGTGGTACCATAGATGCCGGTCGCATCTACCTCTCAATTGTATACCCTTCAGGTGCTCCCAAAGTTGATAACCATGCAATGATATACTTGTGGGTCACTTCTGTATATATGCAGTAATTTCTGCGGATGCATAAGCAAAAGTGGACTCCAACTTCTCATGTTATGAAATAAGAATGGAATCTCATATTATAAATATATGGGTAGTGCTATGTTTTGCAAACATTGACAATACTATGTATAAATTTCTTCAGGTGCAAAAGCAGTAATGTACTAACTTTGCATATTATGAATTACATATAATGAAATTATGGGTGGTGCAAAACTTTTGCACATATATATATATATATATATATATATATATATACACACACACACAGTTGAACAGTACAGTACAGGCAAATCAGTTATTGGTGACCACACCGGGTAAGCGTATTGTAAACGTCATCAGATCGCGTGTGATCAACAGCTTTTGACACTGACAGAGAACGGCAAACCTAAACTGTAGTTTCTCTATCAAGCAATTTCCTTGAATTTGTGATGAGCTATCCGTTTGTTTTAGTGGAGCGGTCGGGCAGGGCTACACCACCATCTACAGGACGGTGAGGGAGCAGTACCTAAAGGTCCTCAACGCAAAGGTACGTAATAATAAGCTGAAAGATATTTGGAGGGACTTTCCTTGAGATGACCTTCGGATCAGATAATAGTATTTTTATTGGTGGCAGAGAATCAAATTCATTTAACTATTGCATGGTAAGGTGAATGAGAATTATTCTTACATATTCGTTTAGCTGAGTGACAAATATTACTTTCGTATATATGACTGTTAATATTTTAATATTATTGCTGTGAAGGAATATTGTTGTTACAGAAGCGAGTGTTGGTGTACAACGGCGATGTGGACATGGCTTGTAACTTCATGGGAGACGAATGGTTTGTCGACTCGCTGGAACAGAAGGTAGAGTACTATTTCTGAAAAATGTACTTAACCCCCAAAAAGTAAAGGACCACCCCAATATTCAATATTTAAGTATTATATGGATCATAATATGAACAATTAAATACTTTTATATTGAAAATTGGGGTGGTCCTTAACTATTTTTGTTGCGTATACATCAAGGCTGTGAGGTTAAATGGAATTAGACTTCGCTTTGAAGAAAATTACTCTAACATAGCGATGTCTGTGTGTGTGACGTGTATATTGGACATCTGTAATTAATGGAGTCTCGACCAGACAAATATCCCAATGGTACTATGACCAAGGGTCCATGCCATCAAGGTGAAATGACACGCGGTCAACTATATCTAACCCGTAAAGCCCACATGACATGACCACAGGTATCGTTCTTGTCACCAATGCCTACGTCCGTTGTTGACAGTACGCTCAGTCCCGTAAGCCATGGTACTACACCGCCGCCGACAAGACAAAACAAGTGGCTGGATTCGCCAAAGGGTTCGAGAATCTCGTGTATGTGACCGTCAGGGTATGTTTCATTGTCCTGTCATCATTACAACGCCTTTCCTCGTCTACATATGTCATAGATCTTCGTCTCTTGTGTAACTAGGTGCAGTTCATCAGCGCCTCTTGTTGCCATACCTAAATTTCTCCTTGAAGTATAGATCTTCATCTATATATAACAACTTTATTACTTTTAGAGAGAGAGATCCCTCGTATCTTACATGTCATGGATTCGAGATTTGAGTGTAAATATATAGATCTTCATCTAATTGGGGTGGATATAAAGAAAAATGAATGAAAAATGAATGAAATCATGAGAACTGACCAGTAATATTGCAACCGGAGAGGAAAAACCTTCATTAAATCTTTGACGTTTTGTTTGCAGGGATCTGGCCACACGGTTCCTACAGATACACCCGTACCAGCTCTTGTCCTGTTTACCAACTTCATTAAAAACATTCCTTTCTAGAACAAATAATCTTAAGCATTGCATCATTAATCATAAAATTATAAGCTATTTGCAAATGTATGATTTTCGAGACCTAGAGAAGTTGAAGAGCCAGTACTGACATAGCCATGTTCAACATAATGGCAGGCGAATTGTTATTTTAGGCAGTGGCATAGTAATGTGACGTCATGGGAGAAAACATAGCAACAACCACTAAATAAAAATGGGTTTTCTCAAACCACATCATTAACTGCAACAGCACAACTTTATGTAGAAGAAAGTACAATATTATTAAACTAACTCTATAAGAAAACTGGCACTTCAAATCCGCTGACAAAAGCCCCCATTAAACAGATATCAAGTATGCCTCATCCAATTTGTAAACAATGATTTGATAAAACAGCGCACTCTACCAGGATAAGGCATACTTGATATCCGTTTAATGAGGGCTTTTGTCGGCAGATTTGAAGTGCCAGTTTTAAGGAGTTTGTTTAATAAGACTGTACTTTGTTCTACATTAAGTCATCTTCTCATATGCTATCGGCTTTGTATGTGTTGTATGTTTTGTAACCCATCACTAACTGATGGTCTTCTCCGGCTGTCACAGTATTAATCAGACACATCCATTGTTGTTACTAATCCCTTTCATGCATACCTGTCACGAGAGCTTTAATACAGCCTGGCTTCAGTTATGTGAACTATGTGTATGTTAGACCGAGTATTGGCTGTACCAGACGAGCCAATCAGAAAGCTTGTAACAAGTGGTAATCGAATAAGAATGGCTGACCCTAAAGATATGTTGTTCTGAACTAATATTCAAATAAGATATAACAACAAATAAAACAATACTCTTACAGTGCTTTTGTTAATCCTAGTCAGATGTACTCAAAGTCACTCCTACTGGACAACGGTGTAAGGGTAAATATCGAAACGTCGCATCATAACAGAATGAAGTACTTGTCATGGAAGAAGCTTTGTTTTAATGTCCTATTGGAGGAAATCCGTATTGTGATGTCACGTTATTGTAAGACTGACTATAGGGACAGAGGTTTCCCATGTCCTGTATGCTATATTTCACACAGATAAGCAGGCGACATATGGATATAAGCCATAGATCATATACATTACCATACGATATGGAGAGATTATCACCCTCCCTTTTCCATATCTTGCCCCGTATCATCCCGAAACGCCCATATCTGACTGAGGCCGTTCAGTCGAGGGGGTCATAATATTTGTATCACTTAATATACTAACCAAGGAAGTATCAATCATTTTTAAAAACCTGTTATTCTCTACAAAAAATATTTCACCCAAACACTCAAAAAATCCTCGACCAAATTTTATTCAACATTTATTCAACAACTGTAAAATGTCATTTGGACACGTTCATTCATCGTCGGTGTCGCTGTCGATTACCGGGGGTCGTATACGTTTGTATCGTTTACCTTCGCCGTTTATAACACTAATTCGAACAGGCGCGTGAAAGTTTGCTCCCGTAAAAAAGTTCCATGGTGCTGTTTGTGGCATCGACAAACCTTGATTGAACGAAATCAAACCTTTATTATCAACATGATAGGCACATCAATAACTACTAATAATTTCTACTTCAGGTAGGACCATTAGATATATTATATGTTCAGAGTTCGATATTAGCAGCAAGAATGAAAGGTTTAATGGTTATGCCTAGAGGCGGAATAAAATATGGTTTCTTGTTGTATAGATCATCATAAAGAGGATTAGAATCACAGCTGTATACAGACTCATTAGATTATAGTTTTGTGATGCACTGGCCTCAACGTAACGAAGCTTGAAAAGATCCAAGACAAAGTCTTTCACCTTGATCATGCATAGAATCGTTAAGTCGTTAAGGTTGCTTCAACAGGCTAAAAAATAAAAGATGGAGCCAAGTACGAGCTAAGAACAGATAGGTATAGTTATAGGAGAGTTTCCTGTGCCCTCCCCTCTTTGAATTAGAGACCTTTCAGCAAATCAAGGGACTAAGGCATTTATTCTGTAAATATCAAATTTTGGTTTTGACAGGTCAAATGTCCATCAAAAATGAAACCGAAGAATTTTCGTTCTTAAATACGTGTGTTATTTACATATAATAACGGGTCTTTGTGTGGTTTATAAAATGGATATAATTAGTTATAAATTTTGAAAATGTAAATCCATTTTCTAAACACTATTTTTAATATTTTGAAACAAAGATGCAGATGCCTTTCAATAGTATTCATATGTTTGCCAATAACGATGCGACAGTGTTGAACCCACGCCTGTCATTTAAAAACTTGGCAGCATAAAATGGGTACCCGGTGAAATAAATCGTGAGACTATTAACCTTCTTGCGCCTATCCGGCAGCTTGGGTTATCTGGCGTAATAATGATCAGATTGTGCGCTTTGAGCAGGGTATCTAGCGTGGAAAAGACGCGTTATAAATATTCTCATTATTATCATTATTAAATTGAGGCAAACGACGTCGCAATCCAAGGTCATGTAGATCTTAGTGTAGTGACATATGTTTTTTCTACATTGATGAAGGAGACGAGTGCCACGCCCACTGTTTGCGGACAATATCCGGGGGCAGTTGCCGATGATGCGAATGTCACTGTGACTTGTAGTAATCCCAAGGTGGGACGTTACGTAAAAATCAGCAAGCCAGATTGAAAATAACAGACAGTGCATGCTGCTTATTGATTTTGACATGTTTGACACATGGTTCTAAACGTACTATATATATGTACCATACGATCCATGGTACTTCTATTATTACGGAAAACACATTGTATATCAGTTGTTAGGTTTTTTTACTTCTAAGATATAAACATGTCTATTATTTATCATGCGTGCCATGGTTTCGCAAACGCATCTAGTTAATGATATTGGTCGATAGTTTGAAGGATCGGTCTGATCACATCCAGCGTTAAGTATTGGAACAACTACAGCATGACGCCACGAATGCCGATTAAACAATTATTTCCGAAGTTGATCATGGTTGTATCAGCTTCTGTAGCAGTATCGTCAGCTTCCCTGGACAATGTGGAGCTCATGAATAGCAAAGAATCCCACAGCTATTTTTAGCGTGCCAAGGTTGTTGGACAGAATCTGAAATTTGAGGTTGATTTTGTTGATGGTGATGTACTGCTGGACGGTACAGCGATGGGTAAACCAGGTGAAGTCATTCACCAAGACGCTTTCTGAGAAGCCACTGCATCGTGTGTACATGCAGTGTGAGGAACGGAATAGCAATCCCACCGACTCCTTCGCCTGGATGAAGTCGACTGGTCTTAAATGTGAAACTGAGGGCTTCCTTTTGCTGCCCAACCAGTCACTTCCCACTGGCAATCGCCTAAATGTGATTCTTAAATAAAATATTAACATGAAATGTCGACTGTGTAATGAATTTACAGAGACTGTCCAACACCTTGTCAGTGGACGGCCTTCCTTGGCATATCTTAAAAGACATGATGGCATGGCTCGCTGCTTCTACTGTCGTCTTCGCTATGCCTGAGGCTTTGACGCCAAGATCCATCCATGGTACGACCATGAACATGTCCAGGGTGTCATGGAAAATTATGCTTTTTAACTTCTTTGGAATAGGCCTATATACAGCCTCAGAAGATTTCCAGCCAACAAATCTGATCTTGTCTTTTTTATGAAGCCAATGAATGTATCTATATCATTGAATTTTTGTCCCATTTGACAGCAATATGCTGGAAAATCAGGAGAATCGTGCTAAATATGCGGACCTTGCCTTTGAAATGTTTCGCTTGCATCCTAAGTACACTGTCGTCAGGCTCGCCATTGTTCTCGGTGCCCTTGGTTTGGTATCTCTTGATCTCTTGACGCAGATCAGGAGAATGCCCGGGTTTTCCACCGGGAGCACAGCCCTTCTGTCACCCTGGGTAATGCAGAAGGCTGCAGTGTTGGGGAGCCTTCATATTCTCTGGAAAGTTCTTTGGTGGGTTCGACTTGGCAGCGTGTCCTGGGAGAAGTCCCATACGCTATCTGAGATGCGTGTAGAGGGAATAAGGGAGGGCCCTGAGCTCACGATGAGCCTTATAATTACCAGCCTGACTGCCAGGATCACCCGAATCCTCTCGCCTGTATACTATTTTTGATCTGTAAAACATATGAAAATATCTGAAAATGTTGAAAGCTGTAAACAGCTGTAAATCTATCGTCAATATTCACCAAACATTTTAATTTATTGCATACATTTATACGTAATTCAAAGTGTTCTGAAGTGAGACGTGAGACGTATATTTTGGCTTACATGTAATATGAAAGCACAATTTATTCAGTCATGCCTAATTTCATTTGAAACTATAATTAATTCTATGTTTTAGTATATGAAATAATATATGCACCATGCGTTGCTAATATTTTATCACAATAAGAAAGGCATGAATGTTATTTTGAAATATAGTTGTTGTCACGCCCATTCCTGCGCACCTGTTGTTGAGGCCGGTCTTCTGTAAACGTTATTAAGTCGGACAAAATGAAAACAAAAAGCCCTAGCATCAACATGTCACACAATTATGATTTTCATCTAAATATTCAGTGAAGAAACAAGTGATGGTAATAATATTAACAAATGTTCAAATGAAAGATACCGAGAAACTTGCATGTGGAGTGTTGAACAACTACTGTTTCCGGGTCACGGGAGGCACAGGAGGTCAAACTGTAGCGCAAACAGGGTTGCGCAGCAAAGAGAAAATGACCAGTCTTCGTATATGCGAGCGAAGCGAGAACTGTAGCGCAAACAGGGTTGCGCAAAAAAGAGACAATGACCAGTCTTCGTATATGCGAGCGAAGCGAGAACTGTAGCGTAAACAGGGTTGCGCAACAAAGAGAAAATGACGCTTCGCGCGCATATGCGAAGACTGGTCATTTTCTTTGTTGCGCAACCCTGTTTGCGCTACAGTTTGCCTGTGCGGGAGCATACAAGGTCTAACAGGTTCTGTGATATTTCAATTGTATGGTCAAAAGCACAATGGTCTGTTTTTACCTATAAGCTATGATTAATCATACTGAATAGTCATTTGTGTTAAATTTGGGTTTGAAAGAAGGAATATTTTCAAATTTCAATAACGACAGATTTTTATCAGACAACCCCTGTCTGTGACATCACATCTGGTGACCTTTGCGCTTACTAGAAAACCGAAGTTCGATTTTGCGATCTTAATTTTCGTTTTTCTCTCGTCATATCATCAACTGAAAATGATAAATGAAAGACTCGTTGAATGAGAAGTCCGTCAGCTCTTGGAAGAATTTACACATTAAAGTGGGGTTGGTGTCGAAAATAATGAACCATAACACTTTAAATTATGACTTGTGAATATTCATAAATTATGTGTAAATGTGGTCTTAAAATAAACATTGATAAAACTAAAGTAGTGTGGATAGGTTCTAAACAATTATCAAGTACACTGTATTGCAGAGACTATACTCTGGACTGGACGCAAAGACCTTTGAAACTGCTAGGTATCATATTTCAACATAATAAGGCAGAAATGGTGGAAAGAAACCATAAAGATAAACTAAAGAAAATGGATAAATTAATGAAACTTTGGTCACTTAGAGATCTCACACCATTCGGCAGAATAACTATCCTGAAAAGCCTGATATTGCCCACACTCAATCATCTATTTTCCTCACTACCAAACCCCAAAATGAATACAATTCAAATGATGCATATAAAAACCTTCGCATTTATTTGGAGAGGCAAACCACACCAAATAAAATGATCGTTGATAATCAGAAACTATAAAGAAGGCGGCTTGAAAGTTCCAGATATACTAGAAACTATAACATCTAAACAATATCATGGATAAGAAGGTTATTTACAA